TACTAAGATTTATATATATTTTATACATGAAGTTCTATTATAGAAAGCAATGAATAATCCAAAAATAAGTTTGGTTATTTACATAAATCCACCAAGATATGATAATAATTCACCTATTTATTAATAACTTCTATCAATTTATGCATTCATTTAACTTCTTCTTAGATAGATTTCTGCATAATTTTAATTATTTAATGTAGATGTTATTGATAAATCTCGAAAGTCTTCAGATGTTCTCAAAATGATCTTTTGTTATTCTATTTCTTTAAATGGTATAATGCTATTGTCATTATTAATATCATATTATCTGTAATAAATATTTGCCATATTATTAAAAGTATTAGGTACAAAGTTAAAATATAAATCGCTATCTAAATAAATATCAAGATAATTAGATGGAGATCCTGGATTAACAACTGTATTTATTTAATAAACTTAAAGTTTGAAAAAGCCATCTTTAGCAAAAGCTATTTCAAATTATTCTTAACTTGCACAGATTGGATTCCATTTATCAATCTAAGTCTTTGTATTATTTAAACATTCTTTAACTGTTATTTTAACAAAATAGAAATTCTCACTTCCATATGCACCTTATAATTTGAAATTAAAATCATCTCTAAGAAATTACTATAATATTTACTTTGGACAAAGCCAATTATTCATTCCCAAAGATTAAAATTATTGTTCAATAGCTTTTGAATTACCATTCTTTACTTTAGTAGTAAATTGATCTACTGTGCAAGGTTAAAGATCTAAAAAACTACTTGTTTTTGTCATTGTTCCATTTGCTTATCTATGATAATACCTAAAATATTAATCAATACTACTTCTATTCTAAAGTAATATTAAATAAGGGTCGACTTGTAAAATTTACTTAATCGATAGAAAATGCTGTCATAAAATTAGTATTATTCAAAATAACCATATCAGGATCAATATTGAATAGAGTTTACAATTTTGCATTAGCTTTTTACTTAGTAACAAAATCAACTATGTTACTATAAAAAAATATTCCAAGAAATATAATTATCATAATTGATGATACTCCTCCTAATGAAGTAGTGTAACAATTTTATTTATTCATATTAAGTGTTATGAATTATCCAAAAAAATCAAATTTCTTCATAGCTAATTTCTAAGAATAAATAATTACTTTATTGTAGAGTCATCATAATTTGATATCAAAATAATAAAAGATTATAAATTATTAATTAATTATCTTTAAATCGATAAATACTAATAATTATTTGTTAAATAAATTTAAATTAATATCATTATTTTCAAATTATGATGTAATTTATATAAATTTACTAACCTCTTTATTCTTTTATATAATCATAATCAAGATGATTAATATACTTCTAAATTTTATATATAATAACCATTAAATAAGTTATATTAATATAAGATAAATAAAAATGTATATATTTCTCATTATAAAATTATATTAATTAGAATGTGATATTCCAATTTATATAATAAATTTAGTTTATATATTTTATATATAAATTATTATTATTTTGTAAATTCATTTCTGACTTTCAGTATTTTTCTTATTAATAATTAATATAAATTTATGAAATTAACAATAATGCATAAAAATACGATAATAATCAACTAAGTCTATACAACATAATTTGCTCATTTTTTCCATATACATTTTCTAAATGATAAGAAATCTTAATATCTAAATGTCTTGGATTTTAAGCATTCTTTTTCACAGCAATACTACCTGAGATAATATCATTATTTTTAACAGCCATTGGCTCTTCAATATAAAATACAGTTTATTTCCAATGAGTACTTTCTGCATAAGGAGAAGTAGTTAATCTAACAGGTACATGACAACTTGAAAATTAAACATCAAACCTTTTAATATATTTACAAATTATTTACCATCCAACTAAAGCATGAACATAATCATCTTTTTAAATTTTCAACATATATTGATGAGTAAAATCTAAATCATCAACTTTAACAGTTTTTAGATCAATTTCAAAAATAGGACATGAATTTGAATTAATTTATTCAGGATTACAACAATCAACTAATGGTTCTCTTAATGCCCATTATTTAATACAACTCATATTTACACCATATACACTATCCCTATTAAATAATTAATACATGATTATTACCAGAAATCTATTTTTGACTTTCTGTATTCATCATCTTCAATTGTTGATAAATACATAATGGCTTTATCTGGAAACATATGACCATCAGGTGCTAAATATTTATCTCTTGCATAAAGAACACAGTCTAACATAGATTCATAAAGAAGAAAGTAACTAAATTTTAGTTTATTTAATATATACCCCATCCATTCAGAAATTATAATATCCACTTTTTCAACAGGTAATTCAATCTCTTCTATTTTTCCTTTTACAATAGTAATTTGTTCACTAAGTCCATTATCACTTATAATCTTTTTTGCATGAATAGCTATGTTAGCATTCTCAACTGCATAAACATGTTTAGCACCAGCTTAAGCTGCAAAAATTGAAAGAATTCCTGTTCCAGCTCCTACATCCAAAACTATTTTATTTTAGAATAGTTGCTAGACTTGTAAGAAAATATATTTACTTTGTTCTTAAGAATAGCATTTTAATAAGCTTTTGTTCTAATCCTATCTTTAAGCATTTCTTCATGAATACTAAAATGTGAATATGAATCAAAATAATAATCAGCATCTTTAATGTATCCATTTTATTAATCTGTCTCACTTTTTAAGAAGCAGGTTTCAAGATCAAATCCTTTTTCAGTTGATTTTTTAATTTTCATTGACTTGTTATTGTTCATATTATTATATTTATATTATTGATCACTAATAAATAGGTTTAATTTCATAAATTATAAATAAAATTCTTTAAAAATAATAAGTTATTTCTTTTTTCTGAAATCTTTATTTTTAAATATATAAACATAAATCTCAATATTATTTCTAATATCTCTTACATAATCTATCCTAATATTTCAGATAAAAAAAAGTTTAAATTATTGATATTAAATATTCTTTATCTAAATATTGCACCTTCTTGGTTTTAGCAATATATAATTATCAATTTAAGAATCTAATAATAATAAAATTGTTAAATGAACATAGAAAAAGTATTATTGATATTTCGTATTAAAATTTATGAACTTATTTTACGATTTATTTTAACCATAATATACTTATAATGATATTAAATTGTAACAACAAAAAAATAAAACATAATATAGAATCAGAAGTAGTAAATTGCGCCAAAAAATTTTAAATAAATTATATTGATATTTGTTCTAAATAAATAATATTAAGATATTCTAAAATAAATTTTATTAATGTCATGATTGATTATAATTTTAAAGCCATTGTTTAGTATCTATCAAATAATTAATATTGTGTATTTTGTATATAATTAGTAAATGCATTAAGATTATCATGTTCAATCAGCTTCAAATGAATTTTTATAAAGATTTTTTCTAAAATTAATAGAAATCCAAATTTTATCAATATAGATAACCAAAATTGAATAATAATAATGCAAATTTAGTTATTATTCTTCATTCAGAGTATCTTAAATATATTATAAGCTTGAATTTAAAACATATAAAAATGTAGTATAATAAGAGATAATATATAAGTAAAAATTCATTATGATTCTTTCTATTGTTTACAGTAGTTTATATAATTCTAAATTATAGTATGTGCAAATGGCTTAATTCTGTTTAGACAAGATTGTAATTGATCAATTTTCACTTGAGAAGTTTGAGCCAATTAGTTTAAATTGATTCCTCCTTAGTGATAATAGATTATATCACATGCAATTTTGATTGCCAATGCATGTTGCAAAGGTTTAGAAAGTTTGTTTACATATTTATATATGATTTTGTGCATTAATTGACATAGCATTTTTTATTTTTTGTCCATATGAAGCTTTTCACACAATTAGGTTAACATGTTGTTTAGTCGATAATTGATGTGTTAAGCAAATTATTATATTTTTTGAGAGAACATTTATTATTCCAGATTCAATTATTGCATTGCACAACAAACTATAACTTAAGCATGAAAATTAGTATTAGGTAATTGAATTATTCTCATTATTGCTACACATTATTTTTCAATTTGTGCATTAAGATTATATTTGACTATCAAATGGGTGATTTAATCAAATATAGAATGATGTTTTGGTGGAGTTTGACTTCTTTCTTCAAACTTAGGGACTGGAGGCCGTTTTGACATGAGTTGTTTTTATTATTAAACATCAAACATTTACTATTCCTTATTTAATAAATAAGGACTAAACATACCATAATATAAATCAATTATAATATTTAAAATGAAAGTAAAGTTATTTTATATATAGTTTGTAGAATATTTAAAAAATGAATAATATATAATATTATATTAAGAAAGACTAATAATATTTAATGAATAAGTATTTGATATGATTATGAGTTATTAGGATTAAATTATTCATAAAATCATAAAAAAATCATTTAAATATAAATTAATAGTAATAAAATATTGGATGAATTGGAAATTATATTGTATCTATGCATTTATTACAGATTGAATTTATATTTTTTTAGAAGTATTTAAAAAAATATTATGAATTACATTTTCATCATTTCAAAAATGAATGGATAAAAATAAGATTATAAAAAAAATTATCATTAAATAAATTCAAAATGCTCCATGAATTGAAATCTATAGTTTATATTGAAATTTATATTTTTTTTTAAATTACCACAACTTTAATATTATTTATATTAATTTTAATTAATTTCTAGAAAATGTATTTTTAATTTAATTCTGATTAAAAATTTTTAATACGCTTTTTTATTCTCATAATCGATAAAGTGACGAAAAATGACAGTTGTTTCATTTTATTAGAAGTCTTGAATTTGGAAAGATTGCGTAATTAATTAGGCACGGAACTTCTCCAATTTAATTAATTAATAGGATTCTAAAATTTATGCTTTATTTTAATTACACATTTATTAATTTTGAAATGATTTATTCTCAGTAAACATTATAAGAGAACAAAGAAATTGATTTATAAGGTATTGATGCTTTAGAGCATCCTTTAGCTCAATTATAATCATTGAAAACTCGGTAAAACCAAGTATTTTATTGAGTTATTTTAGGAACGATAAGAATATATGCTTTTTATGCAAGAGTACATCGTAGATTGCCTTACTTATGAAAATCAAGAGATTGAAGATGATGTACAGACATTCTATAATATCAGTAGGTTGTTTAAACAATAAAAATTATATGTTAAAAAATGGTACTTAAACCCTTATGGAATTATGAAGATTTAATTGTGGAATTAGAGCATCAACTAGAGATTTAAACACGTAAGCAAACACTTTCTATTTTGAATATTTTTAGACGATTATATCGTATTGAATTAAGTCAATTTAATCATTTCCAGTTTCGATGCATAATACTAAAACAAGTTTAATTAAATAAGTACACACTGTCTGTAGACATTAAAAAGCTTATGTTCTACAGAAAAAAAGTAATTAAAAAGGGTGAGCCATTATATAGAAGGTATATATAAACAATAACCAAAGTACAAGAATTAATTCTGAACTAATAGGATAGAGTAGAAGAGATTCATTAACTGCTTACATCAATAATATAGTACAATCTTATTATATTAATCTAGAGGGCAAGATAATATACTATCTATAGATTTCTGGAACTATCATCCATACTAATTTGTGAACACAATTTAACAAGATTTATCATACTAGGTCAAAAAATAGAATGTCGATGTTATTTTGATTGATACATATGGGATCAATCAAGAAGTAGCAAGAACTCTATTTTAGCTATTGCCAGATTATGAAGTTATTTTGCCTCAGCTTCTATCCACAATTAACATAACCAAGGGTAATTTGTAACATGTAAGTAATTCTAAATTATGTATTATCTCAGGCCTTGTCTAATCTGTACGATTTACAATTGAAAATGATTGATAAGTTGAATCCTTTCACTTTGAAGGGAAAGGGAGTTGTTTGTTGTCAAAATGAAGGTTTTGCAGGAAATGAATTTATATGTTATTACTTCGGGGAAGTTTATACACCTTAAAGATGGTTTGAAAAATAAACTATATTTCACAAGAGAATGTAAGATGGAAATAGAAAGACATGTTCTTAAAGTCCTTATGCAGAATTTTTTGTGAACGATGATCTATTGGTAATATTTAAAAAAAATATTTTTAGTTTATTGACCCAACTAGATATGGGAATATGGCTTAGCACATTTCATATTCGTGTGATCCAAACTGCAAATTAGTCGCAATGATTGTTAATTAGCAGAATTTATTGGCAGTTATCACATCTAAGAAAATAAATTACTTAGAAGAATTGACTTTACCTTTTCCATAAACATCTATAGATTAATGTCTATGTGGATCAATACATTGTAAGAGAGGATAACAGTTGGAATTAGAAAGTGCCCATCAAATTAGCATTTACCCAAATTATATATAAAGAAATGTGATTTTATTATAATCAACTCTAATGAACAGCCAAAACACCTAGAATGATATTCCTGATTGGTTAGCAAATTGGTAGAAACTCAATAATCAATAGAATTATATAAATATATAATCATGTGTTGATAAAGTCAAGTTTGCATTATTACATTTGAAGACGATGTAACCGCCTATTTTTCTAGTAACAAATATTTTCAATTAATTCTGGAAGAATTATGAATTCAATACTCAGAAGATTCAATTAGAGTCTTCAATTATAAATGAAATAGTGATATTCTTAAAGAGACATTCATAATTACACTAATGTATAATAGGATTAGAAATTATAAAATAGATGAAATAGATTATTGATTAAAATAATATCTATGCATTAGAATTGACAAGAATGTTATTACTATTATTGAGTGAGATCATTTTAAATATAGATTCTTGTTCATTTAATAATAAAGCATTTGCTACTATATTATATTTTATGTCATTTACACATACATACTTTTCATCTACTTAATATTAAGGATTTGATGGAAAACCTTTTGAAGAAAATGAATTTGAATATATTCCTTAACCAAAAAATAAATCTAAATTGGCATTGTCTAAATAATATACACCATAATTTATTTGGGGTTAATTAATCAATTGGAATAAATAAACACTCTAAAATCCATAATCTTCAATGGCATAAGAAAGGAGAGGTGTTTTATGCTATCCATCTTTGTTGTTATCATTTGATAATAAACATAAGACTTTTCCTTATTAATGTAAGACCAGAGAAATATATTTGGAATATTTTTAATAAAAAAAAGAGATTTAACCTGATTTATCAACTTGGTCATACAAAAATTAACATAAGTATAAATTTTAAATTTATTTTAGCATATATGGTACTATATTTTTTGAATAATATTTTTCATAACAAATAGTAGGGGAGGATTTCGTTAGTTAAATTTGTAAATTAGGTATGCAAACATTTGAAAAAAAGTTTCGCTATTGGTTGCATATAGAAAATTGTTTTAATACGAATCAATAAATGGTAGATGATTTACAAACCATATATTAAGAGTATAAATTTATATTGATTTATCTAGAAAATTTTAAACATTTTTTGATTAAACTCCCAAAAGCAATTCTTGTACAGAATATGATAATAATATAAAGAAAAAAGTTAAATTTAATCAAGATACAATAATTGCAGAAGAAACTCAATTTAGTACATATTGATTTAATAACTCTTTTCAATTTAAATTCTCAACCTCTATATAAATATTGCATTAATAGAAATATTTTGGGATGTTATTAAAGAATTTTTAATTACTTATTTTATAATTATATATATAATTAAACAATTAACTTTTTATATAGTTTGATTTTCAATGGTTATCAATTTCTTCCTTATTTCAGAATTTCTTTATTGTCATATGTATTTATTTCTTCATATTTTTTGCCCTTCTTAAACACATTAATTCCAATCTGCATCATAAAGTAGGTCCAATATATGTGCATACCAAGTAAAATACACATCTAAATAATGAGATATTTATTTCCCCAAGCTGCTTCAGGACTAGAAAATATTATGAAAATTTATTTACTAATCTTAATAGTTTAATATTGCTTCCAAAATAATTTAAGGGAATATAATCACCCTGGTATAAATCCATGTAAACAAAAGTAATACGTATTGGATATACATAAGAGATTTGATTGATTTTAAGTCATGCTAAGCTCTTGAGAGAGATAAAATGATATCAGCTATATCATGAATTCCCAATACAACAATTCCAAATCGAACTAAATCATAAATATTATATTCTAACATTGATTATAAAGGGCTGAGAAGATGAGCAAACAGGTTGCAAGAGTGTGATGCAACATGTATTCCCAATACTTGGTTTCTACTTCCTTTCTCTTTATTGCCAAGTGTATCAATGCATATAAATGATTTGCTGTTTGAATCATATAAAAGGGAATCACCCATTTATTCTAAAATAATTATATGGGGAGTTACATTGATCATATTAGGGAAATCTTACCAAATACCTGTGTAATTGGTACCTCCTAGTCCATTTGGATACCAAGGTTCTTCATGGAAGAAATACCAACAAAGTATCTAAAAATATTCAAATACAATATATACAGATGTTGTTGAATAGTATACTCCATCAAATAACCATTTTAAAATTTTTTTAACTCTTACATCTCTAAATTCTCCTTAATATTATGTAGAAATAGTCCTATAAACAAAATCATGGCATAAGTAATTTACAGACCACTTAGAGTACTAAAAATTTAATATTCTTCTTACATGAACAATGATTAATCCAAATAACATGATGCTGAAACTTGAATATGATATAACAGGAATATCAGTCATTATTAAGTACTATCTAAAACGTAAGGCATCAAACACAAAAAAGGAAAGAATAGCTAGTATTTATCGAATAGAATTACATGCTAAAAGTATGAATAATAGTCTAAATGTTTCTTCATAGGAGAGATTTGATATTCTGAAATAATAGAAGTTAGCTTTTTTAAAAAAGGATCTGCCATTTGATTTCAAAATCGGATTCATTTTTTTAAAATGATATATTTATTTAATAATATTATTGCTAACATTATATTTCATATAAATCTCAGAGATTAGATATATATTTTAAATATATGAAAAATTAATACAATATTAAACAAATTATTTTCCATAAATATTAATAAAATTATTGAGAATCAGTTGTCAAAATTACTTGTAAGGATTAGTCCTTTTATAAAAATAGTATTTTGTTTAATTTTGTAAGGTATTCTTCTATCTCTGAATTACTAAAATTAATCAATACTTAATCTTTTTAATCCTCCTAAATATTTACATCCTAATATACATCTTATTAATTTAAAACTCTAACTTTATTATTTATTATTGATATTAAACTATAAAAGGAAATTTAATGTCTATAATGCTAATCTAATTTGAATTTATTTAAAATCTCTATTTATTTTTTTTTACTCTCTTAAGTGTTTAAAATGAAGAAAAAATAGTTGTTAATAAACTCCATTTTTATTCTTGTACTATTTGATGAGAATTGCAGAGTAATTTGATCAATTGTTCTTGAAACAATATTTTTCAAATGGTCTGATTATTCAGTGATTAAGTATATTTTGAATTCTCATTATAAAATAGAGTCACTATGGAAAACTCATATCAATCAATAATAAGTTCTTTTGGATTTTATAATTATATTAAATATAAATGAAAAAATTCAATTTAATATATCAAATAATCTGAATTTATGGTAATATTAAACTTAAATATGATATTTCACTAGGATACTTTAACATTTATCTTAAATTATTGGTTAATTTATTTATGATTTTAAGATGATCTATTCTTCATAAAACTAATTGATGAATTAAATTCTTTTAAATATGTCTAATTCATTTTATTATTAAATAAATGAATAATCAGTCTCTTTATGAAGAAAGAATAAAACAAATAATATTTTATTATATCAATATATTTAGTAATGGTTCTAAATATATATTGTATTTATTTATTCTAAGTTCAATATATAAATATACAACAAAAAGATTTGATTTATAATAATATTATTATGGAAGGATATCTTAAGAAGTGGATTAACATAGTTACACGATGGCAAGATAGATACTTTATTTTGAATGATCATATTCTTCATTATTGTGAACATCAAGGAGGATAATCTAAAGGATAAATCCATTTAAAGGTGGCTGCGATTATATTAGTTCCAGAAGATCCCTTAAGAATCATAATAAACACAGGGACAAATGAAATATAATTAAGAGCCTCTAGTGTACCTGAAAAAATAGAATGGGTGAATGCTTTAAAAAGAGCATAAGAAAGTTGTTAGGAAACTATTCCTAGAGATTATATTAAAGAAGTGAATGATATTCTAACAGATATTTGGGTTACATAAGCAGCATGTATAATTATTATTTTCTACAATTAGTTGATGAAACTTTAAATATACTTGTACCTAAATTAGAAAGATAACCGAAGTATGTAGAATTGGCTGAAAAATTAAGTGAATTAGGATAAAAGATTAAAATGAATGTTACTATATGTACTTAATTATTGGAAGTGGAAAAAGAGAAATTAGAAACATAATAATAATCAGGTATTTTTAAATAATTTATTTAGGTGATAATTAAACTTTATTTTAATCATTTAGAAATATCTCTAGTAGGATTGATGAATTCAATAGATAAAATTCAGCAATTAGTTGTAGTAGTTCTTTATCAATACAAGACATTTTAGAATCTCTTAAATATGAATAACCAATTAAATATGTAAATATTTTTATTGAAATTAGAAAAATCTTATTAACAATCCTGTTTTCTAAAAAATTTAATTCACAAATTAATAACTTAGAATTGCTTTGCCTAGAACTTAAGATCCAAATGAAAAACTAAAAGTTTGGAGTTTAATTAAAGATTTGATAGGTAAAGATCTTTCAAAGTTTGCTGTTCCTGTATATTTTAATGAACCTTTATCTATGTTATAAAGATTAGCTGAGAATTTAGAATACTATCAAACATTAATTGAAGCTAATTAAGAATAAGATTAATGGCTTAGAATGTGTTATGTTATGGGATTTGGAGTTAGTGCTTATTCAAGTAATATAGATAGACATAAGAAACCATTTAATCCTATTTTAGGTGAGACATTTGAAATCTAAAATAAATAATTTAGATTTGTAAGTGAATAAGTTTCTCATCATCCTCCTATATCTGCTGGTTATGCAGAATCAAATGATTTTGAAATGTAGATGTAAACAGATCTAAAGACTAAGATGACTCCTAGATCCATGGAAGTATAACCTTTAGGAAATGTATATATTAAACTAAAATAATTTAATGATCAAATTTCCTATAATAAATGTATTACAAAAGTTCATAATATAATTTTTGGAAATATGTATATTGAACATATTGGGGATATGATTTTTCATAATTATACTACTAATGATAAAGGAGTATTAACTCTATCTGAAAATTAAAAAATGGTTGGTACTGTTTATGATAGTAATGGTAAAGAAAAGTATAAATTAAAGGGATAATGGAATGATTCATTGATAGCTCGTAATGTTTAAACAGGATAAGAAGTTGTAGTATGGAAGAGATATGATTTACCTTAAGATTATAAAAATTACTTCTTTTTTACTAAATTTGCTTTAAATTTGAATCTACTTAATATAGATTTAATAAAATCACTCCCTTGCACTGATTGTAGATTAAGACCTGATTAATTAGCTTTGGAATATGGATTTATTGATTTAGCAGCTGATGAAAAACATAGATTAGAATAGAAATAAAGATAGCGTAGAAAGGATATGTAAATTGCTGGTTAAAAACATATACCATAATTTTTTGAATTGATGAAAGAACCATGCACAAATGAAATGATTTATAAATATAAAGGGAATTATTGGAGGAAAAAAGGAGAAGGCTTAGATTTATTTTGATTACTTATATATATATATACACACATATAAGCTATCAATAAAATGATTAAATCTTTTATATAAGTTTATCCAATTAATTATCTTAATTGAATTCCTTAATTAATTAGTAGAAATGTTCATTCTTAGGACTTATTGTATGAACTAAATTTATAGTATTTAAAATTATTTACTTCTTAATTTATCTTCTAATTTTATTTGTATATGAATATTCTAATTATATTCCAATTGAATATCAAGAATCTTTTAATGATAATCATATTCCAAATATACACCTGTTATTTACTATAATTAAATTATTAATTTCTCTTTCATTTCTTTTTCCTCCTTTAAATAATTAATATCATTTTAACATTCTAATGATTCAATAAACAATTAATACTAATAAGTTTCTCTTATAACTTTATATAATTTGAATTTTCATTGCAAGATTATTCAATAAGTGTTTCAATCTTTTAGTTTTACTCTTATTGATATGATATCAATTGACCAAGTTATATTTAAATATTCTCTTTATTGCCTTTTGATTTTAATTTTTATTACTATTCCTCAATCATTTTCTTATATTAATCAATTTATTGTTATTATTACATTTAAACTTCTTTTTGTTATAGTATTTTATCATTATACAATTTCCTTTTTTAATCTAAGATAGTAGACAAGATCTTTTTAGATTTTTCGATCTCATTTTGGATTGAATTTTAATATTCAAAAAACTAGAGAATTTAAATTTAAGACTTTTATTCAATATTATTATTCATAATATTAAATATTAATCATTAGATTATTTCAGTTGTAGAAATTTAAGGATATTAAATATTTGCAATATGTTATATTACTTAAGGACGTTGACTATTGCTTGATTCTTTTTATCTATTTTCAATCAAATTCAATTCATCAGGATTAATGATATGATCAATCTCTTATTTTTAATCAAGAATTTCCCAATCAACTCCTACATTTCCTCTTATTAATTCCAATATCAAATAAACTAAATAAAGAAGTAACAATAGTATTAACAAAACAATAATTGCTACTAATGAAGACATCTCTTCTGGTTACTGAACTTCTTTATAAAACCAATATGAAAGACCACTTAATCCTCCCAATGTTATTATTAGTCTAATTAAGAATGAGACAATTTATGTTATTTTACTCTAATAAAAGTAAGATTAAAAAGGATACAAAATTCTATTAATTATAAGTCTCTATTTTTCTAATTTTATAAGCAATTCCACAAATAGAACATGTAATAATTTCATTTGTAAATGGTCCAGTTGTTGATAATAGTTTCTTCTTAAAACAAGTTTAATGATAAAAGTTCTAATTATTATATTTATAATACTTCGCATTAACAAGGTTATATTAAATTCATATCATCTAAATTTTCACAAATTTAACATTAGATTATTATATTGTCTGTTCTAGAAACTGAAAGTTAATTGCCAGATATCTTTCTGGGTCTTTATTACAATTTCATTGGAGTAAGATTATTTATAGAATTACTCATACTATAAGCAATTTGAACATTATCATATTCAGTATTTCTATGAGAATCCTATTTAAAATTCTATAGAGTAGAGATAAAATTGTTTTAAGGTGATAGTATTTTGATCTATGTTTCTGATTTCAAATTAGAACTCATAATTTTATTATTATGAATATTTTGCACCTCATTTGTGAATTTTTCACTAAGAAATTTATTAATTAATTAGTATAAATTATTTTTATTAATAATTTCAAGCTTCAAATTATTAAACTCCTTTTACATATTAATCCAATCTTTTCTATCTTATTGATAAATATATAATGCATATAGAAAATACAAATAGCAAAGTTAAAGCTACACTAATTGTCACAACCAACCAAGTGGCTATTTATTATTCACTTTTGGGTGTCTAAAGAATTCATATAAAAATATTACTATCCAGCATTCTTCTTCATAATTTTATACATTTTAAAATTGAATTATGGCATTGAATTCTTAATAATCACATTTGTATTTATTATTACAAATTGGCATTAAAGTACCATTATACAATACTTAAATATAATACTAATCTTCTAATCCCTACTTTCTATATAATTCAAATATAATATTGCTAGCATAACCTGGAAATGTATAGATACAATTTTTATTCTATACTTCCTATTTAAAATAAACTTATTTTAGACATTCAACTGTTGTTAAATTAAGTGCATTTAAAATCAATTCAACAGTAGTATCATGAGCAGAAAAGATTCTAAACTTGTGTTTTGTATTATTGTTTATAACATTATCCATATTCTCTAATACTTTTGTAAAAAAGGGTGTTGCCAAAAGACGAGCTTAACTAAAATAATATATAAATCAATCAATTACTCAAAATCTATATTATGTTCAAGTGCAAAATATAAGTACTGTAGTAATTTCATTTATTATTTAGTACTTTCTTTTAGTTTTGGCATTTAATACCCATTAAATTCACAAGAATCGAATGTGTCCTGATATTCATATAAATTTGTTATATTCTAAATGATTATTTATATATACTAATAGAGATGCATCAATTTAAAGTTATTCTGCTAAATCTAATATTAAGGGTTAAGATTTAAGATTGATTTCATGATATAATTTAGAATTGACATTATTGTTTATTATTTCTTCATTTCTTGGACATGCCACAGCATCATATCCTCTAAGATATATATCTGCTTTCTTCTCTCTCACATGGACTGGAACTACTTGCAATAATCCTGGAATAGCTTCATTTCCTAAATCTTCAAAAATTATATCATTAGGAGGAAGCAAATATGAATGATTTAAATTTGGATTTACTTTTGGACCTGTTCCTAATGGATACATGCCTTAAAGATTGCTCAATGCACTCATTATTGTTCTATTTACATCTGTGCTCTCTATATAAATTTCTGCCTCATTGTAATTCTAACTTAAAAGTTTTAAGTCTTCAACATATCTCCTTCTTAACCATTATCCTAAAACATAATGTTGTCTCATTCCAGTAGGTGTCAAATATCCATTCAACATACCTTATTACTCAAATTCTTCGCATTTCCAATTACAATGAAGAGGAGTACGAGCACCATGTCTCCATAAAATTTATGATAATATTAATTAGTCTGCAAATGCTTAGGAAATAAGTATAAGAATGAACAACATGTTATAATTAATGTTAATTAATACAATAAGATTTTTATTTAATAACATATTCTTGAATTTTTAATAATATTTGGATTTCATATGTATATTCTATATAAATAACAATAACATCAAATATGAGTTAATTATAACTTTAAATATTTATATATAATCTTAATAGATTTAGATGTTCAAAAAGATTTAATATATATATAGATTAGGATATATTAAAATGATATTTTTAAATTTCATAATACTTTTAAATCATAATCTTAAATAAGATTATACATTTTGCTAAAATCAATTTAAAATCCATTTATAATTTATTAGAATTTCTAATTAAACCAGATGCGAACACATAATACAGAAAATATAATATAAAAATTTAAATCTTTGGAAATTAGAAATTAATTTTATTCACACGTCATAAATAATGAAAACTATTTTTACACTTTTACTTATAATAGGAATATGGGCATAGTAAACAACTAATTAGATAAGTTGCCCAGTTATAGGCATTGATTTAGGAACCACATATTCTTGTGTTGGTATATTTAAAAAAGGAACTGTTGAAATCATTCCAAATGACTAAGGAAATAGAATAACTCCTTCAGTTGTAGCATTTACTGATGAAGAACGATTAATAGGAGAATCTGCCAAGAACTAGGCTACATTTAATCCTTCAAGAACACTTTATGATGTTAAAAGATTGATAGGAAGAAAGTAAATTTTCAATTTAAATTTAGATACACAGATTCAACTGTTCAATATGATAAAAAGTTTATGCCCTATGATATAGTTGAAAAAGACAGTAAACCTTACATCATGGTTTCTAATATTAAAGGAGTTTCCTCCAAGATTTTTGCTCCAGAAGAAATCTCAGCTATGGTCTTAATGAAAATGAAAGAAATATCAGAAACCTACTTAGGAAAGAAAGTAGAGAATGCTATAGTAACTGTTCCAGCATACTTCAATGATGCCCAAAGATAAGCTACTAAAGATGCTGGAACAATAGCAGGTTTAAATGTATTAAGAGTTTTAAATGAACCTACTGCAGCAGCCATCGCTTATGGTCTTGATAAGAAAGATGGTGAGAAAAACATTCTTGTATTTGATTTAGGAGGTGGAACTTTTGATGTATCTATTCTTACTATAGATAATGGTGTCTTTGAAGTTATAGCTACTTCTGGAGATACTCACTTGGGAGGAGAAGACTTTGATTAAAGAGTGATAGATCATTTCTTGAAAGTAATCAAGAAGAAACATAATAAAGATCTTAGTGGAGATAAAAGAGTTATTCAAAAGTTGAAGAAAGAGGTTGAAAAAGCTAAAAGATCACTCTCAGCTACACATGAGACTAAACTTGAAATTGAAGATTTAGTTGATGGATTAGATTTTTAAGAAAATCTTACAAGATCTAAATTTGAAGAATTGAATAATGATTTATTCAAAAAAACTATTGGACCAATGTAATTAGCTATGGAAGATTCAAAATTAAAAAAGACAAATATAGATGAAATTATTTTAGTTGGTGGTTCTACTAGAATCCCAAAAATTAGATAAATTGTCAAAGAATTCTTTAATGGAAAAGAACTTAATACTGGTATTAATCCAGATGAAGCTGTCTGTTATGGTGCTGCAATCTAAGGAGCAATTATTTGTGGAGACTCTAATGAAATTAATGATTTTATTGTGATTGATGCTACACCATTAAGTTTAGGTATTGAGACTGTTGGAGGAGTTTTAACTAAGATTATTCCAAAAGGTTCGTCTATTCCTAATAAGAAATCTTAAATATTTACAACTTATTAAGATCAATAATAAACAGTAACGATTTCAGTCTATGAAGGAGAAAGACCACTTGTTAAAGATAATCATAAATTAGGAACCTTTGATTTAACTGGTATTCCACCTAGTCCAAGAGGAACTCCTTAAATAGAAGTCACTTTTGAAATAAATGCAGATGGTATACTCCAAGTTTCAGCTTCAGAGAAGAGTTCAGGAAAAGCTAAAACTATATTCATACAAAACAATTCTGATAGATTATCAAAAGAAGAAATTGAAAAAATGTTATAGGATGCAAAAACATTTGAAATTTAAGATAGAATTGCAAAAGAAATTATAGATTCAAGAAATTCTTTAGAGAATTATATATATTCAATGATAAATTAAATTGAAGTAAATTTCATCTAATAAATATAGGACCCTGAAAAACTAGCAAATTAATTATCAGATAATGACAAAGAGACTATAAGATAAGCTTTAAAAGAGAGTTAGGATTGGATTTAGAATAATTAAAACGTTGAAAAAGAAGATTATGAATAAGAGCTAAAAGAATTATAAAAGTAATATTTTATCTAATTAAATAGAATCTGTAATCCTATTATTAGTAAACTCCATTAATAAGAAAATAATGATTAAAGATATTCTTAAGAGAATTATGATTCTGAATTGTGATTTGAATTCTAGTTGTATTTTTAATAATTAATTTAAATGTAATTTATTTAATATATATATTATTTAATAATAAAAAGTAAAGGAAATATATAAATTATTTTTAATCAACATGGATCAGTTTTGATCTTTAATTTTTCAAATTGATTTCCAACAAAATCATTTAAAGATTCCATTTGATCTGTTATTTATTTTCTTTCAATTTTATTAACTTTATCTATGTAATCAGCTGAATCTAATAAATATTAGTTCATGCTCATAAAAGATTGAATTAATGAAGGAGGTTTATTTAATTTAAATGATTTTTTCCATTATTAATAAAATTCTCCTTATAATATAAACTTTTAGATATTTTCTTTTTATTTCAAATCATTAATAGTAACACTTTTAAATATATCAGGCAATTTCATTTATTAAAGCTCCCTTAAGGTTTATTATTTTACCAACTATTAATCTATTTTAAGTTATTAATTAAGTAGTTTCATTGTTTCCTATTTTCGTTTTATCTGATTACTAATAGCTATTTTTGGTAACATCTAATATCCATGAATAATTTATTGTTCAGATTTATGTTTAATCATTGTAGGTGCTTTTTACAAGATAGGATCTTAATGAATAACATATTTATCAAGATTATTGAAAATCAATTAATTATATGAATCTTCTTCAATGGTCTCCTTCTTAAGATCTAAGTATACAGAATCAAAATTAATCTTTTGTCTTCTAGAGGTTATAACTTCCTTAGCTTTTTTAAGAATTGAAGAAGATTATAAAGTTTATATTGATTATTATGGAGGAGATTCCTCTTCTGTAGGTAAATTTGAAATAATTGATTCTAGAGCATTTAGCTTAAGTTTTAGTTGAAAATCTGGTTTTTTTTATAGAATCTTAGTAATTCTAGTCTTTGCGAGATTTGCTTTTAGAATCACCTAAGCATTCTAATTATCATTATTCATAATTTTAATTAATGCTCAGAAAGAACGTAAGACTTAGAAAGGAGTATCTCATGAGGATAGAGGATGAAAAAAGAGCAAAATAGAAGTATGATAACAAAATGAGATTATTGAATGCTGAGATTGAAAGGAAAAATGTTCCAACTGACCTTTATAGAGATGAAGAAAATCTAAGAAAAGAAATTAATGCATAAGATGATAATACTATAGGTTAATAAACAAAATTATTTGTTAGTGCCAAGAACTCATTTAGATGATGAATATGCTATGAGTTTTTATAGAGAACCTCAGATTGCATTGACTACAAGTAGATCTCCATCTTAAAGATTGGTCACTTTAATGAAAGAGATGGGATTAATATTCCCTAATTGTACAAGAGTCAATAGAGGTGCTCTGGTGGTTAAGGATCTCGTAACTCATTGTTAACAAAAAAATTATTCAGATCTTATAATTGTTCATGAACATAGAGGAGAACCTGATGGATTAATCATATCCCATATGCCCTTAGGTCCAACTATTTATTTTGGAGTTAAAAATGCTGTCTTGCGTCATGATTTAGATGTACGAGCAGGTTATTTAACATTATTATCATAGATCCTTTATCTGAACAATATCCTCATTTGATTTTTGACAATTTCTCAACTAAATTAGGAGAAAGAGTAATTACCATATTGAAACATTTATTTCCAGTCCCAAAAATAGATAGTAAAAGAGTCCTTACATTTCATAATGAAAATGGAGTGATTTAATTTAGACATCACACTTATTAGAAATCATTTAATCAAGTTGATTTAAATGAACAAGGTCCAAGATTTGAATTAAAACCATATAAAATAACCTTAGGTACAATTGGATAAAAGGAAGCCATAGTAGAATGGTAATTAAGAACCTTTATTAACACAGCTGGTAAAAAAAGTGTATTATGAAATTGTATGTAAATAATTAATTTATTAAATGGACTCAAAAATTATTCCACTTCAAAATATAGATGAATTCAAATCATCTATTCTTATAGAAGAAAGAGTAGCCATCTTAATATTTACAGCAGAATGGTTTTATAATAACATAATTTCTAGGTGTTAACCAAGTCTAAACTTAGTAACATAAATGAAAAAAGAATTGGATTAATAAAGAAAAAGACTAAATTAATAAACAGGTGCAATCAATATCTTTGTTGTGGATCATGAAAAAGAAGGATGCCATCAAATAATCAAATAATTTGCTCCAACTACATTACCATATGTATATTTATTTGAGAAAGGGAAATATATTGCTTAATTCGGAGGTTTAGATGTTTTTGCAATGAATAAATTAATTAAGAAAGCTTTGGAATCTTCAAGAGCATTATGAATAAATAATATTGTCATTTTATATTAGTAATTATTTAAATTCATAATTCTTTATTCTTGGTATAAATTTCTTGTTTTCTTATTAATTTGGATAGAAATTCATTGTAATAACAATATGTTCAACTAGTTTTTTGAGTTTATTTTTTATATAATTTGTAAAAAAAATACTTAAAATAATTGATAAAATTAAAGTATATTCACTTTGTTATATTGATTTGAATAATAAATTTAGTTTCTATAAACTTATATTAAGATTGAAAGTGATTATATAATAAATACTTTGATATTCTTTTATTTGATTATCTAATTAATCTTTACATCATCATCAACTAATATTTTTTTGATTTTATTATTGTACTCTTACACAAATTCATTCTTTTAGTTAATTAATAGATATAGTACTGAATTAGATACTTGTTTATTATTTTAATGTCTATATTTCAAATATTCCTAATTAACCAATCAAATTGCAAGAAAAGTACATTAAGTATTGGCTTATAAATATTATTTTCAAATTAATTAAAATGGCACCATCAAAATCACCAAAGGCTGATGCAGCTAAAAAGACAGTCAAAACAGTCAAGACAAAGAAAGGATCAGATGATAAAAAAAAGTCAAGAAGAAGATAAGAGACATTCGCTCTTTATATTTACAAGGTTTTAAGATAAGTTCACCCAGAAATTGGTGTTTCAAGAAAAGCTATGAACATTATGAATTCATTTATCAATGATATCTTTGATAGAATTGCTCTTGAAGCCAGTAAATTGGTTAGATTCAATAAGAGAAGAACACTTAGTTCAAGGGAAATCTAAACAGCAGTCAAATTGCTTCTTCCAGGAGAATTGGCTAGACATGCCATCTCAGAAGGAACAAAAGCAGTCACCAAATACACCAGTGGTTGATTTATTCAATTTAATTCATATAACATTAAAATAGATGTTAAATTTTATTATTTTTATACTATTTTACTAATTGAATAAGAAGATTGTTCTTCTTTAAATATTGAAAAGATCTTTTCAAAATATTTAATTCTTAAAAATAATAAAAGATTATATGTAAATCAATAAATACTTATTATGCATTTAAAATAAGTATAAAAGTAGATAGAAAATTTATGAATAATAATTTTATTATATATAATTAATGAAATAGATTCCTATTGTATACTTTTATCAAAATGAACCAAAGACATAATTTATGTTCTTTTTTTAAGGAGAGGAAGTACTATAATTATTTAACTTTATTGTAGCTAATAGTAAAAAATATATTACAGCAATTTCCTTTTAAAATTACAACACATCATATTAGATTTAAAATATTTGTTTAAGATATTGAACCAAAAACGTAATCAATTAATTTAATTAATAGATATGCTTGGTTTGATATCTCTAATCCTAATGCTAAAGTACCAGTTGTTAATGATACTGTTTTTGTAAAAATATTAACTCTTTAACATCTTTCATATAGTAGAATAGCTAAAAAAATGGTTGAAAGTTTGTTTTAAAATTAAAAAGTTGGAGATTTAAGGATCTAACAAAATCCTATTTAATAATCATATTAAACTTAAAAATAACAATCTAATTCATCACCTAAATTACAATAGTAATAAAATTAAAAATAAATTTAACAACAAGGTGGTGAGAGATATAGCAATAAGTAATTGAGTAATTTATCAAATGGGACTAGTCAAGGTGGTGATCTTTTAGAAGCATTTGAGAAATTTGATTACAAACCAAATCCTCATCATACTTAATCATAACCAATCAGCCATACAGATTTAGATATAAATAATACTAATTTAAATTAACCAAAACAATTATAAAATGATAAAGATTCCTTACAGTTTTTAGGATTTAATCCTCAATCACAATAACCATAAGCAAAATAGGGCGAAAATTTATTTGAATTCTAGACAAATATAGATAAATAACCTATTGTTTAAAATGAGTAATCTCAAAGAGAGGATCTATTTTAATTTGATATTCCAAAACAATCAATATAATAATAATAATAATATGAAGGGCTTACAGATAAATAAATTGTGGATTTGAGAGTAGAATAAGCAGCTGAGGGTCTATAAAAGATTTGGTAGGAGGAAGAAGATTATAATGTTTTGAGATAACAAGCAAAAGATGAAATAGAACCAAAAATATTAAATTGGGCTTATAAAAATAATGTAAGAAATAATTTAAGATTGCTTCTTTCAACATTGAATGATGTTTTATGGGAAGGAACAGATTGGTAATGTTCAATAGGAGATTTAATGACTGATGATAAAATGAAGGTATTTAATATATCTAATTTATTAGCTAAAATATCGTTAAGCATTATTGATTGTTCATCCTGATAAAAATAATAAATCTCCTCCTGTTTAAAGATATATTGCTGAAAGAGTATTTTATGAACTTAATTAAGCTTGGAAAAACAAAAGTTGATATATTTTTTTATTTAAATAGCTTTTAATAAACATCATAAATTTAAAGGTTTTTTATGTTTAATTAATTAAGTAATTTTTTATTTATCTAAATTTAATATATTTGATTAATAATATTTGTGAAATTATGAAAATTCTTTCAATTTCATTGAAATTTTGTTACATTATTTTAAAGAACAAAAAAAAATTATTTTATATAACTAGTATTTACTAAAATTTATTAGCTTTATTAAATAATAAAAATTAAAAAATATATCAACTTTTGTTGAAATAATTTAATGAGTTAATTATTATTTGAGAATGAGAAATAGTATCATTTGATATAATTCATCAATTTAATTTGAGATTAAATGAAGTCAAAAATAAAGATATAATTTGAAAAAATATTTCAAATATTAATTATTACTAATATTTAAGATATCTAATAATATTGAAGAAACTAAAACTTTTGAATCTATAACAGTTTATTTAAAAAAATATAGAAAAAGTCACTCTCATCATCAAACCTCATTTGATGAATCAGTTTGTTATTCGTTTACTTCAACATCATATTTAGTCTCTGTGATTACTAAATCATTATTTTTCTATTAGGACTATAATTCAATTCCTGTTATTGAAGGTCTGCAACTCTCATCTCCATCTATGATTTCCACTTCAACAGGCTAGTCAGTTTTTTCATAGAGAGCATCCAAAACTGCATTTTTTTCCTTCTTCTTAAATTTACTTTTCTTGAGAAATGAATCTTGCACCCAAAACTATAATAACCTGTTTTGATACGCAAAGAGCATTAAATATTAAAGGTATGATGACTAGTACAATTACAAGCTCAAGTTCTGGATATTAATTTATAGGTTAGAACATCCATGATACTGCTGTCAATAAATATTCTCCCAAGATTAATTAGAAAAAATAAAGGATAACTTTGCTCTTGTTTTAATGAGTGATAACTTACTACAACAACAATTAAAATCCACAATGTTAATTAAAATACATACACTCCATATGCAACTTCAACTTTAGGTTTAGCTTTTTAGGCTTGAGTTAAATCATTAGAACTTATAGAATAAGTTGTTATTTATGGATAGGATATAGTGTAATAATTGCCTGTTTAAAATTGCTATAAAAATAACTAAGATGTATACCGTCTAACCTAACTTTTGAAATAGTTTTTCAAAAAGAGTGATCAATAAACAATTAATTAACATACCTATAGTACAATCCAACATATAAGTAATAAAATACCTACCTTAACAATATTATATACCATTAACATTAATCTCCACTATCTGCAGAACTCAACAATAAAGCCAATCCAATATTTAAGAAATGCTGCACAACAGCACTAACAAACTATTTAGCAGTATCCTATGTTATGTATTCTGAAATTACCATTAAAAATATTTTCCAAACTCTTTTAGGTTTTTCAATGTGCCTCTTGACTAAAAATATAAATATGACTTTATTACAGACAAGGACTAAAAAGCAAAGGAATCCTAGAATTGATTATACTAATATTCCAAATCCTCCCAATAATTCACACCCCTACGCTTCAGGTTCCTCTGTTGACATACAAAATTGAGTTTAATTAATTAATAATAAAAAAGATTATAATGTAATTAGATTAGACGGTTAACGATTTAACCAAATTACAAAGTTACTCTAAAAAATATCAAAATAAACTAAAGAATACATTGTTATCTATAAATATATAAATTATATTAAAAATAGTTATCAAAATAGAAGTAATTAATCCTATGCAAAATTGAAAAATGTATAAAAATCATTGTATTTCCTTAATCAGAATGTTTCTATAAAAATTATTTGAATGGTTTTATTATTATTATTATCTTCTAAAGTAATTTATATGTGATAATAATGATTGATTTACTAAAGATTAATATATTATGGTTATAAATAATCTTCAATATTATTATTATTATTATATAAATATTATTGATAATTATCATAATGCAAATATATTAATTCAAGCCATCTAGTTCAATTTAATTAAATATTTAAATCACTTATTAGATTCTATTCATCTTCTATTAATAACATATCACCATTATTATCAATCATGCCAAATTATTAAACTTTTCTTCTTGGTTGAGGTGGAGAATCTGTAACATCTTCTGAAGATGATTCTCTTATCTATCTTCTAGGTGGTATAATATTTTCAGTTTCATCCATTTCTTCTATTTGTATCTCTTCAAAAGGCTATACTTCTTCCACTTATTCTGGTGCAATAGGATTTGTCTTCTCTGAACTGATTTTACCAGATTATTCTTTAAGTAGCAACAACAATCGAGCATTATTAATTTCTTAAATCTAATCCACTCCTCCACTTGAAAATTCAATACAACTTTCAAATAAATCTAATCTTTCAGTACTACATTTAGTTGAACACATTCTACTCGATTTTCTCATTAAATTTGTTTCTTTTATCAATATGGAATTATACTTTCTCTTTTAAGTCTTCTCTACATAAACAATTCATCTTATCGTTTAAGATCTTCTTCAATCACTTTTTATGTCTAATCAGATGCTTTTTAATATCCACTTATTAAATGCTACAAATCATTTTAGCTGCATTCAATCTTATCTTATATTTCCATTGCAATTTTTGCCTTTGTTTAACGTTCTCTCTTTTTGTGTTCAACACCAATAGTTTACTTATAATTGGATTATTTTAGTACCTTAGCTTTTGCACTTTCTTAACTGTTCTAAATATTGTTAGTCTCTTATATAATTAAACTTTATGTATGACTAGGCATAGATGGAGGCAAGTCTTGATTAGTTTTACGAATGCTCTTCAGGGCTCTTTGACAAGCAAACAAAGATTATAATTTCTCATTAAAATAATAACCAACTGGATCCTACACTCACTAAATTCTTACTTAAATGCTGTCATAATGTTCGATTAACAAGGCATACAAATCAATCAATTTTTATATAACATCATATTTCTCTGATCCTTTGTGGTATCTTTCTTCAAATTCAAGTAACTCCTGATAGATATCATCTATATATAATATGTACAATTTACTCGTAATAGGCATTGTGAATTTATTTAATTAAAATAATTTATTGACATCATTAGAACATTCCTCAACTTATTCTAATTTTACATCTTGAATATAATCTATTATTCTAGAGAGATAGTTTATGTAATTTAATTTAATAGACTAAAATGAATCAATTTTAAATAATAATCTTAATAATCTTATTTAAATTTGATTCTAAATCTTAAAATTATCACATAAATTATCTTGATTAAATCAATTATGTTTTGCTATTTTATAGATTTATGTTTAATAAGAATAAATATAAAATTTTAGAATAGTATTTTATAATCTAGATATTTTCTCTTTAATTATGAACAACTTATTATCAGGACTTATTTATTTTAAAATATATGAATTGATAATTTTAATTAAATCATCCTTCTTTTGTAATTCATTTTCTTAATATATAAAATTAGATGATAATAAATTTATATTTTTCATTCAATTTCAGTTTTTCATTTGAATTATTTTTCTTAATTGATAATGGGTCCTATTTTTGAAGTATTTCTTGTTTGAATTTGAAATGTATGACTTTACTAATAAATAACTCAAAGGTAATCAATTATATCATTTTAGATATGATTTATGAGGAAATTTTGTTGTACAATTATCCAGAATTCAAGAAGCAATATGAAGAAAAGATTGCAAATAATTAAAGTGTTGTAAGTCACCTAATAAAGGGTGAGAGTGCTAAAAGTTATTGATCCTGAAGCAGATGATGATTATCCTATATTATGTTGTATTTATATCAAATTTATTTTATAATATTGACAATTTTAAAAGATCTATGCATTTTCAATCATTAACTATGGTATGTATTTTATAAATACTATCAGCTAAAAATAATTGAATTAAGAATTAAAGTAAAATATTAGAATGTCCCTCTTTTTTTGAGATTGATTTTATCTTTCCCAAAAATTCTAGAAATAATATTGATGATTGACTTAGTTTCTTTACATTTTTACTTCGCTATCTTATGGCTGTTATAATATACCTAATTAAATATAATAAATACTCTATTGCATTTATATTCAATCTATATAAATTTTATTTACAAAAAAGACAAGTATTTTCAATCTTGATTTATTGGATTCTATTAATTAGACAATTTTTAAATGCAAACTAAACAAAATGAGTGATAACAACTATCCAGGTGATCCTGTAAATCAATAACTCAAATACTTATTATTCTATTGAATGATAACATAATCCACATTATTATACTTTAGATTAAAATCGTGTAAATTTTTATTATGGTTATAGTTCTTTCAATTTTAATATTTAAATTATTAAATTAATGAAATTTTTACATTAAACAAATTTTTTAGAAAGTTCATTTTCATTTATGACACAGCATGATTTGAAAGTACAATAGAATAGACTTAAATTAGACTTAGTTCGTATAAATATTTTATTGTTTAATTTTATTTTTCTTATAAAAATAAATTTAATTCTTAAAAAGTGATATATTGAGTATTAAATAGTCTTCTCTACCAATAGTTAAATTTTGATATGTTTTTACTGAATTAACAATATGATAACAAAAAATAATTTTGAGATATTCAAACAAGAGTTGAATTGGATTTCAGTTTTATTTTAATTTATTAAAGAAATTAGATTGAGTCATATGAATTAGGTGAAAATATTATATAATTATATCAAATTGTAATTTTAGTTAAATCCCAACCTAATTGTTCTAAAATCTAAATCTATTTAATAGCTGATTGCCTTCTTTTTCTGTGTTATTCTTACTGATTCAACCAATCTAAATCTTAAATTCTATATGATCTTATAAACTCCTTATTTTAATTATAATGTAATATTTCGTCTTTTCCATCAGGCAATAACCAACCATCAGGTTCACAATTAGAATTGTAATAGCAACCTTATTAATCAGCCCATCCTCCATGCTAATCAAAAAAGTAGATTTGATCTTCAATTTCAAATCCTAAAAGGGTACCATCGTGATCAAAGAAATCAATATATTTTTCAAAATACCAAGGCTTATGAGGAACAAACATTAATTAATTAAATAATTAAATAATAAATGTTATTCATTGATTGTTTTTATATTAAATTCATTAACTTGCAAGAACAGGATGATCTTCTTCTTCATATGATTAGAGTTATGCAAATGAAAAGGTTATAGATTCCATACATTATTAGTTTGCAATGAAAGAAGTTCTTTGACCTTCATACTTTTCTTTATTAAAAAGATATAATCTTCTAGATACTGGAACTGTTAAGGATCTGATTGGTTTAGACCATCCATATCCTGGTAAATCTGGAATTCTATCACAAACAGTTACTGAGTCTCCCTTGAAATTACATTCAGAGAATAACTCTGCACAATCTGGATCAAATATTTTATAAGTTGTATCAGCAACAAAAATAGCTGTCTAATGGAAAACTCCATAAATTTAAGTATCCCACCCTAAAGAAATAATAATCGTAATAAGTACATGTTACTAGATTATATGATAACTTTGATTCAAGTACTACTTTATTATATTGCAATCTCATATTTCTAGCTCTTTCAACATCATAACCTCTGAGAGTAACAATAGGTACTCTTGGGCCACTTTACCATACTTTTGGTAATTCAATAGTTTATGGAACTTCAGCTGCACTTGGTGCTCTTTTAACAAATGGATGACTTGAAGCAGGATCATTATAGAAAACATATGCAGGTGAAACCCATAAAGATTGATCAGTACCCAAAAGAACATTGAATCTTATAAATTCCAATTATGCTTGCCAATATGTTCTTACTGAAACAGTGACAGATTTTGGTGTTACTTATTCAACCTAAAATGCAAAAGACTAATTACTTTGACTTCCACTATTGGATTTGTTAATAAGTGTTTACAACCAATTAAACTTACAATAGCATTTGTAGCATCTTTGAGACTGTGCTCAATTGTATATGATACTTTTCTTTCACCTATTCCAGTTTTTAATTCTTTAACATCTGTAGATTCAAATGTCACTACTTAAATTCTGGGATCATAAATTGCATACCAATCAACAAATAAGGAATAAAGAGGAGAGGGTCCAACTGCAACTCCACTCAATTTGAATCCTTTGTAATAATAATACAACATAATTACCTGTTGTTGTGATATCGCTAACTCTTTCCATAAACCCATGAGGTAAGCCAACACTCCAATCAAGTAATTNAATAGCAACCTTATTAATCAGCCCATCCTCCATGCTAATCAAAAAAGTAGATTTGATCTTCAATTTCAAATCCTAAAAGGGTACCATCGTGATCAAAGAAATCAATATATTTTTCAAAATACCAAGGCTTATGAGGAACAAACATTAATTAATTAAATAATTAAATAATAAATGTTATTCATTGATTGTTTTTATATTAAATTCATTAACTTGCAAGAACAGGATGATCTTCTTCTTCATATGATTAGAGTTATGCAAATGAAAAGGTTATAGATTCCATACATTATTAGTTTGCAATGAAAGAAGTTCTTTGACCTTCATACTTTTCTTTATTAAAAAGATATAATCTTCTAGATACTGGAACTGTTAAGGATCTGATTGGTTTAGACCATCCATATCCTGGTAAATCTGGAATTCTATCACAAACAGTTACTGAGTCTCCCTTGAAATTACATTCAGAGAATAACTCTGCACAATCTGGATCAAATATTTTATAAGTTGTATCAGCAACAAAAATAGCTGTCTAATGGAAAACTCCATAAATTTAAGTATCCCACCCTAAAGAAATAATAATCGTAATAAGTACATGTTACTAGATTATATGATAACTTTGATTCAAGTACTACTTTATTATATTGCAATCTCATATTTCTAGCTCTTTCAACATCATAACCTCTGAGAGTAACAATAGGTACTCTTGGGCCACTTTACCATACTTTTGGTAATTCAATAGTTTATGGAACTTCAGCTGCACTTGGTGCTCTTTTAACAAATGGATGACTTGAAGCAGGATCATTATAGAAAACATATGCAGGTGAAACCCATAAAGATTGATCAGTACCCAAAAGAACATTGAATCTTATAAATTCCAATTATGCTTGCCAATATGTTCTTACTGAAACAGTGACAGATTTTGGTGTTACTTATTCAACCTAAAATGCAAAAGACTAATTACTTTGACTTCCACTATTGGATTTGTTAATAAGTGTTTACAACCAATTAAACTTACAATAGCATTTGTAGCATCTTTGAGACTGTGCTCAATTGTATATGATACTTTTCTTTCACCTATTCCAGTTTTTAATTCTTTAACATCTGTAGATTCAAATGTCACTACTTAAATTCTGGGATCATAAATTGCATACCAATCAACAAATAAGGAATAAAGAGGAGAGGGTCCAACTGCAACTCCACTCAATTTGAATCCTTTGTAATAATAATACAACATAATTACCTGTTGTTGTGATATCGCTAACTCTTTCCATAAACCCATGAGGTAAGCCAACACTCCAATCAAGTAATTATGCTGAAATAAACACTTAAGGGGGAACTTCGAAAGCTTTCTTGAATTTTACATCCACAACCACTTATCTTGGAACTCCTGCTTGAGCTTCCAATATGTGACCTCCTGCATATTGAACTATGACCTATTGTGCTGACTCATATTGTGGTGTTCTATAACAGAACGCAAGTGATAATATCGCTATCAGAACTGCTATCTTCATAAAATCCGTTTTTATATTATATAAATTATCTTATTATCTTAATCAAATATCAATATAAATCAACTCTCTAACAATGTCAATTACTCTTCTTATAAACAATTAGGAACTTCAATAAAATTATATTCTATCATTAATGTCATTATCTAAATTAAGAACTATTCTTTTTATCTAAAATAATAATCTCAATCATAATTACATATATATTTCATAAAAATGGATGTATGTTCTAATTTTACATTGTCCTTGACAGGGGGTTTTTAAGAGTGTAGAAATTGTGGAAGAGAAAAAAAATTTCATCGTCTAGACTTTGAAAATAACAACATTGAATATGTCAAAAAATCTAATAATAATGATGCAGGTATATTGTTATTCATATATAATCAATAGCAAAATTCTAATAAGAGAAACTTTAATAGATAGCTCAATAAAAATAAGAAGAAGAAGATCAATTAAGAGCTAAAGCCTGTAGTAATTTCGTATTAGCTCTTGTTGGACAATTTCAATAATGTGGCAATTGTAAAATAGAGAAAAAATATCATAAACTTAACACAGAAGGTCAAATAGCCTATCAACCTAAATCATAACTAACAAAATCTGTTTAATAGACTCAATAATAAAACAAAATCACTGCAGTTGCAGGTATTATTCATTTTATATTGTTTTGTAGAAGTTGTCTAAGAAACTATGATGGTACAATCTGTAAAAGACAGAATTGCCTAAATGAATAAAAAAAATCAATCTAATAATGAACCTTAATTCAGACCTAGTTTGAAAAAGGAAGAAGTTAAAGAAAAAGTTCCTGGATAAGCTGAAATAGTCACAGAACAAGTCTTTACATCTGTATCTGATAAAAAAAGTGTTTTTGATAAATAAAGAGTCAGAAAAACTATAGAATAATCCACTTAACAAATTCGAGAATAATAAAATACAGAAGGATTTAGAAAGGCAGAATCATAATATATTACATCATAAGAAAATACTCAAGAATAATAAGAATAATTTATTTAAAATCAAACTTAAGTGCAAGAGAATAATTAAGAAGATTCTTAATAAAACCAATAGAATTATTAATAAGAATAATAATTTGAAAATAATTAAGATTAATAATAATAACATTAAGAAGAGTATTAATAATAATAAGAGTATTAATAATAAGAATAAGAATAAGAATATTAATAATAAGAATAATAATAATAATAATAAGAATAATAATAATAAGAATAATAAGAATAAGAATAATAAGAATAATAAGAAGTTATATTATAGTAATAAGAATAAGAAGAATCAAATAATTAAAATGAATAGGTTGAATAATCTTTATAATAGAATGAATAACAAGATGAAGGATAATAAGATAATTAACAATAAGAAGATGCTAATAATCAAGATGAGGCTGCTTAAATTTATTGAAAAATATTAAAATATTAATAAATATTTATATATATATTATATCTTGATGTTATTTAGACAAAAGGAAAAAGTTCCTGATAGAGGAAAAGATAATTTTCGTGATTTTATGAGAAGAGAAGGAGAATCTTGTTAGTAAACTTAAATGAAACTCTCAACATTTATACATAAAACTGTTCCAAATGATTAAACAAAATCTTAATTAAGGTATATCAACCATCATTCCTAAGTTCTGCTCCATATGTTTTAGATGGTTCATTAAAAATGTTTGGTAATACATGGGATGCCAAACATTTAGGAACATTTCTTTAAAAAAGTTAATTTGCTTCTATTGATGGAAATCCTCTCAAAAATACTGAACCATTCTAAAATAGCATGAAAAATTAAAGTTTTTTTTTCAGAAGCTAATAAACTAGAAATACAGATAATCATGTTATTAATCTTCATTAACATACAATTAATCATTTAATTAGTGATCATCCAACCATAAAAAATGGAACCGAATTTTTAGAAAAAAAACTACTTTCTGTACCTGATAAAACATTTGATGAATCTAAATTAAATTATATTACAGAAACAAAATTGAAAAAACCCAAAGAATAATTTTAAGATATGGTAATTGCTAAAGAAAATAGATTAAAATTTCAATAATGGAGATCAGAATATCAAGATGTAAATCGAGCATTCAAAAAGGCTAAGTAATGTTTTAAAAGTGGATTGTATGCTTTAGATAATCCATTAAATGATAATACTAAACTATATAAAGAAGAAAATGCAAAATTAAGAGGAAAAGAATAAAAAAGTGTGAGAAACAATTTGCAGAGATATAAATGTAATTATCAAACTCAATTACATAGCACTTGAGAAATTTAATGCTAGTAATCCTGCCATTGAATTTTAGAATATTGCTCATAAACCATTTAATTCTATATAATAAGATCCTTTATTAACAAAAAGTAGTTTCCCATCATAAAACTTTGAGTTACATGATTAATGGAAGAAAAGAAAAATGATAGAATAAAATGTAGATACAAAAAGTAGAATATTTGGTGAAAATTCTTAAAATAAAGTAAATTCTCAAAGAACTGTCTTTTTGAGAGAATAAGAACTTAGAGGCAAAAACTACAATCCTGTGAACTTAACAAAAAGTTTAATTGGTTGTTGATTTTCTTTGCATTTATTAAATAGCTAATAAATATAATTATATAATATATTTATTTTTATCTGTTCATTATAAAATAGAGTGATTTAAAATATCTACAAATGCTAATAAAGATAAAGAAGAAGAAAAGTATTGAGTGTTTTGAATATAAATAGTTAGAGTAGTAAGCATTCAATCTTAAATTTAAATACAGTATTTTTATATAGTTGAATAATTGAAATGTCAACCTTGAATTTTTATGGAAATACAAAAGAAAAATATTGAATATTGATTTAAAGTAGTAAGTATCCCTAGGATTAAGGGAGAATTTTTGTATAAAATATTATTAAAATTTTTGGGTAAAGAATATTTAACATCTAATGTTCTATAATGAGAGTCTTTTTTATTTAATTTAATTTTCATAATAAAATAAACTAAATTATTTGTTCTTTCATATTATAATAAATTATAGTTATTGTTGTAAAAATTATTATAATCACAATTTAATTATAATATGTAAACTCATGCAAAATAAGTGGTTGCATTAATCAATCAATTACCTAAGAAGGAGGAACTCAAATTCTTAGAAAAACAACCTGGAAACAAAAAAATAATTTCTGAAACCAATTAGGTCTTTATCTCAGTTATTAATGGACTACGATCTTTAGTTGGAGATGTTTAAACAAATTCAACAACTATACCATTTAAAGTATTCTCTCATAAATATGTAGTAAATAGAAGAAACATTAGATTAATTTTTAGAAAATGCAGCCATTTAATATGACAAAATGAATAAATTAAGTTTAGCACCAAAACAACCCCAAATTTAAAAAACAAACTAACTTAAACCAAAAGATATTTATGGTTTTGCTGATGTAATTTAACTTAATAAATTACCTTTTATTCCTGTTTTAAAATATAAGCATTATGCTCAAACAGAATTAGATTAAAAAATAATAGAAGCTTAAAATAATCCATATTAATTTTTTGAGAAATATTCAATAGATGAATTTTCACATCCTTATTATGAAGAAATAATGAGATTAACACCATAAGATTTTGTTATTGATGTGCCATAAAAAATTAATAGATATAGAGATTTAGAACCACCAATCATGATTAATAATCCAGATCATTTAGGGGAACTTATACTTAAAATACAATAAGAAGTAGATTAGAATGGTTTTAGTGAAATAGCTGTAGATTTAGAGCATAATCATTAAATTTCATATTTGGGAATCACTTGTTTAATTTAATTAAGCACAAGAACATAAGATTATATAATAGATCCTTTTCCTTTATGGAAATAAATAGGTGATATGTTGAGTGTTGTTTTTACAAATCCTAAAATTATAAAGGTTTTTCATGGAGCAGACAATGATGTTTAGTGGTTATAAAGAGATTTTGGTTTATATATTGTAAATTTATTTGATACTTTTCATGCATCTAAAGAATTATAACTTATGTAAAATTCATTTTAGTTTTTGTTATCAGAATATTGTAAAAAATCAACAGATAAAACATATTAAACAGCTGATTGGACTTAAAGACCATTATCTGATGAAATGATTAAATATGCTTAAATAGACACTCATTATCTACTTTACATCTATGACAGAATGAGATAAGATCTTAAAAAATTAAATAAACCTAATGAGAATATAAATAATATTCCAAATTATTATATTGAAACTGTATTAAAACGAAGTAAAGAGACAGCTCTCAAAATTTATAAGAAACCTTTGTAAGATTAAGATTAATCTTTACAAACAATTCTTAACAAGTAAGATAGGAGAATGGATGCAAAAAGTTTTGATTTAATGGTGAAATTATTAGAGTTAAGAGAAGAATTAGGAATTAAATATGATCAAAATCCTAGATATTTTTTACCAAATCCATTTTTATTTAAAATAGTTGAATCAAAACCTACTACAATTTAAGAATTAAAAAGTTAATTAGGAGGTGATAAAAATATACATGAAATTGTTAAAGAAAATCTCTGGTAATTCTTAAAAGTTCTATTGGAATTTGATGAGAAAATTCCGACTGTAGATATTATTTAGGAAGAATAATAGAATACAACATAAATATAGATTGAGGAAATACAATCTAATTTATAAGTTGAACCATTAAAAATTGTTTAGGTTTCAGTTAATATTAAGAAATTCTAAAATAAAAATAAAAGTATTATTGAACATTTATAATAAAATGAAAATGTTGAATTATTAAAATCCTAATTTTATTGTGAATCACCTTTTAAATTGTTAAATGTTTTTCATGATGGCTTAGGTTCTTAAATATTCTAATCAATGAAGGAATAAAGTTAATAGCAAAAATAATAAATTGAAGAATAACAACAATAAAAAATAGAAAAAATTAATACAGCCGATTTCATTTAACTTCCTAAACTAGAAGAAACAAATCGTGATTAATAAAAAGATTTAGATATTAGACTAAATAATACACTATAAAATTAGCATGGAACAAAGATTTTAAAAAGACACTAAAAAATAGAATAGTAAAAAACATAAAAATCTAACATTAGTAACAGATTTTAAATATCATGATAATAAAATGTGTATTTATATTCATAAATTATTGTTTAATTAACATTTTAAGAGGGCAATATTAGTTATACCAATTCTCTTCTTTAAAATTTATGATAAGTATACTTTTGTTTAGTAATAATATTCTTAAACTAGTCATAAAGTTGAAATTATCTTTAAACGTCATCAAATTTTCAAATTTAAATTTTTTATTTATTTTGAATGTAGAAATTAATATTATTTTTTATATAAGTATAATTTTTCTAATTAAACCTTAATTATAAATTAAGATTAGATAAATATCTTTAAATATATAAACTCAAAATCTGAGAATACACTTATAAAATTTTATAATTAAATTACTTTGTATCTTTCTTGTTCTTAATTCATAAATTTACAATCTTATTTGGAAAGAAATAATTTTAATAACAAATAATGAAAGTTTTATAGTTTTCCTTATCAACACTCCAATTCCATAATACAACTTTGGAAGATAAATACTAAGAATATATTTTAGAAGAGAAACTTACCTTTTTTAAATTGTTAATGTCAATAACAATTTTAAATACTCTAGTATCATTGTTTCGATCAATAATAGAAGGATGGGGAACTTTTTTGATCATATCACTTTCGGTGCAAACTGCATTATATTTTATTACTTTACTATTTAGCAGAAAAATTTCTCCATATTTAAAGTACATTCTTCCTTTATTATATGTTGTTTAATACACTTTTTTTATAATTGGGGCACTCAACAACCTATTATAGTATAATATTAAGATAATTTAGGCCTCATTACGTTTATGGTTTTCTAGGTGGAATATTTTCTTGTTGTATGCTGAATTATTTAAGTGTGAAAATAAAAATTGTTATTTTGTTATCCTCTATTTGGATACTACTTGGAATATTTAGAATATATTCATTATTCAATATCAATTATATTTTACTTGGAATTGGAGCTACTAGTCTACAAATGTTTTCTGCTTACATATTTGAATATAATTCAAGATTATATTTTTCATAAGGAATGATTATAAAGTAATAAATGTAATAGATATCAATTATATAATAGTAATTTAATGTATGAATTTACGAGCTAAAAAATTCTGATTGTTAGTTTTAATAAAAATAAGACATTTTTTGAGCTTGATTTTGTAAATTAAAAGTTTGATTCATTTTATAAAATTGAAAATAATTAAGATAAGGTTAAAGAATTCTTAAGAAATCATTTTATCATTAATTTAGCTACTCATTAAATGTTTGGCAGTTTAAAAGTATAAAAATTTGCTAATAAATAAATAACTTTAGAAGATTTGCTCTTTGAAAAATACAGAGCTTAAAATAATTTTTTAGAATAATCCAATTCATTTTAAATAATAGATTAAAATAAAAATAAAAATGAAATTCAAGTTTAAATAATAAATGGATTGAAAACTCTATTTTTAATCATTATAAAAGAAAACAATAATGATATTTAAATAGAAAAGTATGAAAAGAAAATGTAGATGATAAATAATTTATCAACAAATTTTTCTATACTAGTTGGTTCAAAATTACAATCTATATATAAATCAATTTTTGATTTAGAAATTTATTAATATGAAACTTAAGCTTTAAATAAAATCTAAGGAAGTATCTAATACATTCTTAATGAATCAAAAAATTAACTAATGTTTTTTTCTTAAAATAAAATTCACTAATTAATAGATCGTTGTTTATTATCCACTTTTATTTTGGCTTTAAAGCCATATTTAATTTATTAATGTTAATAATCTAAAATATAATTTGAATTATTATTTTAAATGGATAAAGATAATGTTTAGATGAAGATAAACATTAAATAATTAACATAAATATTAATTAATATCTTCAATAAAATTCTAATTTATTCATAATCAAATAGTACTATATTATTAAGAATATCGAAAGAATATAATTTAAATCCTTTATCAAATAGTTAATAAAAACAATCATCTTCATCAAAATATGATTATTTATGCTCTTCTTAAGATAATTCTCAAATTTTGATTAATTTTAATTTTTTGTTTAAAACAGATGATGAAATAAATAATTTTGAAAGATGTTTTATAAATAAAGATAATGAATTAGAACAGAAGGATGATTTAATAACAATTGTTAATTCATATATTATAAAATAATTAAGTCCTTATAATAAGATATTTATAATTTAAGAGAAAATATCAAGATCATAAAATAATACTCTTAAATTTTATATTTATTCTGATTAAACATAAATTGACCCATCTTATTGTAAATCTATAAAATAGCAAAACATAATTGATTGATTAATTCATTCCACCATCTGCTTGATTTTATTATTATTATTAAAATAATAATATCCATATACTTTCCATATACCATAATTATCAAATATTTTTCAATTATTTTATATAACAGTAACATCAAAATTATCTTAAAATAATTGGACAATAATTAATATTTTATTTATTTATTAATTTAATTTAATATTATTTAACTTTCTGAATAATCTTCACCTTTTTTTATATTGATTCTATTAATGTTTAAGTAGTTAGTATATATATTATTTGTAAATATTATCTTTCATATTCTTATTTATAAAAACTTATCAATTACAAAAAGCATAAAATAAAATAAAAACTATATAAATCACTTTTTCCTTATTAACATTTTCTTCATTTCTACTTATTAGAGTTATTCAGTCTAAATTAAATTATGTATGGCAAATTCTACAGCCCTTTAATTATTAAATCTATCAGATAATTCTTGAATCAATCTATTTGCTGGTATCTTAGATCCTATACTTATTCTTCTTAAGATAGATTCTTCAATTTTACCAACTAATTATTTTAAGTCATTTGATAAATCAAGACCAAATTCTCTATAATGATAAAATAATTATATACTTTGATCCTAATGAGACTGCCATCATAGTAGAAGTTTAGAATAATCTATGGGCCTCTTTTACATGTTCTTCTTTGACATGTTCAAGTAATTACATTTTAGCCAATGATTCACTAATTCTAATAATTGCCTCTAATTATCTAACAGTAATTGGTATATGTGATTTGCCTCCACTTTTTGAATGATGAGGTTATTAACTTTTTTATCTATCATCAACATATAGATTCTAAATCATTTAAGCTGCTTACTCTGTAAGTAAAGGTTTAACAGTAGACTTTGCATATTTGATGTATTGTTTTAATTTCATAAGATCCAAAGTATTATTACCATCTTATTCAATTTACATTCCTTCTTAATCAGCAAATTATCCTGTATGAAGAGAAATAATATGATTAGCTAATCTTTAATCATTTTCAATGGATCTAACATCTCGAATTATGAAGATATTATCAAATCGAGATAATATAGTGGTTTGTAATTCAATTTATTCTTAGATAGATTTATTCTCTTGATATCTACCAAAAATAGGATTAGCAGCAGCTAAAATTGAACATTTTGCATTTAATCTAGTAGTAATACCAGCTTTAGCAATAGATATAGTCTATTATTCCATTGCTTCATGCATAGCAACTCTATCTTCAGATCTCATTTTATCAAATTCATCTATACAACATACTCCACCACTTGCCAATACCAAAGCACCTGCTTCCAAAGTAAATTAAGATGTATTGTGTTAATATGTAATAGTAGCAGTAAGACCAGCTGCACTACTTCCCTTACCACTTGTATATACACTAATATCTGCTGCTCTTTCAACGAATTTCAATAATTAAGATTTTGCTGTACTTGGATCACCTATCAATAAAACATTGATATCTCCTCTCAATTTCATACTATCTGGAAGAGTTTTTGATGTTCCTCCAAATAGTAAACAAGCAATTGCTAATTTAATATCTTCATGGCCGTAAATAGCTGGTGCTATTGAATTAGTAATTATTTTATAGACATCTGCATTTCTACTTAAGGATTTGAATTCTTATCTTTAAGCCTCAGATAATCCTTATTTAATATTCACTTTATTTGTTTATAAACCAAATACATGAATATATGGTAAAAGTAATTCAGTATCCATAGCATTACTTTTAATAGTTGCTGATCCTTTTGGAGGTACTTAATAAACTCCAGTGATTATTACTCTTTGTCCAGGTATCAATTTATTGACCAAATAACGATCACAATATACCATAAAATTTCTTGGAACTTCTCCTGTTGGAATTGCTTCAGAAAGCTCTTGAATTCTTAAAGTTTACTAATCAATAAATTGACATTCTTCTGGGATAATTACATAAGGATCTGTTGGACATTATGCATCTGTTTAAGCACCCTTTTATTATGCTTTTCCTAAACAATATCTTGGTAAATTGACTGGCTTTGGTCCATATCCAAGATTTATATTTTATTCATCTTGACATTCTCTACATCTTATTAATAATTTTTTTGCCTTAACTTTTATAGATTTAGATGCTGAGATAATGCATTTAATTGTAACTAATTTTCCAATTTATTATGCTGTTAAATTACGAAGTAAATCTGGATTTTATTATGAAATTAATTGCAATTAAAAATCTGGACAATCACTCTTATTTATCATCTTTTCTTAACTATATAACTTAATTTTAATATTTATTGAATACTTCTTTTATTTTATCTTCAAAAGTCTCTTGTATGTCTTATGGACGATCCAAAATAAAAGAGTATAATTCTTTATCAGAATTTTCAATATCATTTATTTCAACTCTCAAAATATACTCATTATTAGCAACATTTTCTTTTAGTTGATCCCTATATATGAATTTCTCTTGGAAATGAAATTCCTTGAGAAACTTTAAAATCCTTTTTCCTGCATCTGTAATTGTTTATTCATGATTAAATTCTCTATTAAATATTTAAACATCATTAAATACTCATCTGTTGTAAATTTCTGATTTGTATAGTATATTTTTTCTCCGTCAAAAGTAGTCATATGAAAATTAGATTTAAAATATATTAATAATGTTACGCGCATTTATTTGGCGGAATTAAATATTCATTAATATATTTCGTTATTTTTATTTAAGCAAATAAATTCTTTGATTAGACAAATTAACAAAATCTAATTATTAATTCTTATTTAACTAAATTTGAATCTCCATTCATCTTTAATTACTTTTTATTACATAATTCATTTTGCATATAAAATTTATTTTTCCATGGATGAATTCAAATCGAATTCAGAGCGTCCACAAACCTCTCACATTCTCAATCAATTGAAACTTTTGAGACGTAATCTTGTCAAATAACCATAAAAACAACATAAATATACTAGGTCACACTTCGTACCAGCTGACATAAACAATATGAAATATGTGCATTCCCAAAGATAAATCTTTGGAAACATCTCTTCTTCTATAGCAACCTTCAAAGGCAAGGCTATATCTTAAAGTCAAATATAATATGATGAATCCTATTTGAATAGATTGCTCCCAAAAGAAACAATAAGAAATCTGAATAATTAATCTAAAAAAAATAACACATTCTTCTCGTTGTTTCAACAACCATAAGGAAGAATGAAAACAGATTGGATAAACTCAAGATATAGATTATTTTGAGTTAATCTAGATTAAAAATGATAAATGATCTAATAATTATACAAAAAAATACAATATTAAAGATTTTATTTATCAAATGATATTACATCAAAAGTTATGCAATATAAATTTAGAGAGAGATTTACAACTGAAATTGATTTTCTAATAATTATATTTTTTCAAATCAAAATAACTAAAAATTGTTTAGACAATTAACAACGATGGGAACTTTTAATATTTTGGAATGAGTTTAAAAAGATTGATTGTTCAAATCAATAATTATAATTAATTTATATAGTTGACAACCATAAAATACAAGAATATTATTTAATAAAAATAATTTTATAATTAATTTATGAGTCACTAAGGAGTACTGTCAACAAAATAATAAGAAGCAGCTTTCTTGAAAATACTTAAAAAATAATGCAATTTGATATGTGCAGATTGCTCTTCAAAATCGCCTACTTGGGCATCTCTAGATTTTGGTGTTTTTGTGTGCTATAATTGCTCAGGTATTACAATAAAATTTATTCATTTAGGATAACATAGAGCATTAGGATAAAATATAACTAGAGTAAGATCAACAAAATTAGATTGTTGGACATAAGAAAACGTTGATATGATGGATGCATTGGGAAATGACTAGAATGAGTAAGTTAATTGTCAATAAAAATAGGTATTGGGAAAGTAGATTATAAAAAAGTAATAAGATCCAACCTTCTGCCACTCCAGAAGAAATTAAACTATTTGTTTAAGAAAAGTATGTCAAGAGAACTTGGGTAAAGTAGGGTCAGGCTGATCCAAAAACACGATATACCTAATGTCTAATGAGTGGGGTACCTTTCAGAGTTGTAAAAACTAACACCTTTTTTAGTGAAAATGGAACTCAAGGTTAATAGGTAAAAGATGATATGAAACAATTTCATTCTACGCAACAATAAGGAATTCAAAGGAATAATAGGTAACTTAGTATAGATTCTAAATAAACATAAAAAGAAGCTAATCTTATTTCACCAGATAAAGGGAATCAATTTGATTGGAATTCATTTAATCATTTTTCTACTTTTTCTGGTTTCCCTAATAATCACACATATTAAACTAATTAATTAGAAATATAACCTAAAAAATAATAATAGAATGAGGATCAATCTCCAAGTTTTAAACCAAAGAACAATAACTTAAATGAGTTTGATTTACTAACTTATTCAACATTGGCAGATAATTAATAATTTATGTCATATAATCCAACACATTAATCAACTTAATAATAATAAATTCATTAATAATTTAATACTCATAATCCATAAGTAAATGTAGAAACTTAATAATCATGGTCATAAGCATAGAAATAGGCCTAAATATAATCATAATAATAATAAGCTAATTAATAATAAACTAATTTATAAGGTAATAAAACATAGCAAAATCATTAATTATTAAACTTTGGAAATAATGTTTTCGGTTCTAATAATTAATAATTGGGATGGATATAATAATAACCATAATAATAATAATAATAATAATAATAATAATAATAATAATAATATAATTAAGCAAGTAGTAAACCTCCTTTACCTGGAAGATAAAATGGTTAAGTTAATTATCAAAATATAAATTTCACTTAATAATAGTAATAATAATAATAATAGTAATAAATTAGTAATTAAATTAATTATTAGACAAATACACTACCATAATAGCCTTAATTATAGTAATAATTAGCTAATTAATAATAATCAACAAAATTTTAATAATAATAATATCAATATATGAATCAAAACTAATAAAATTTTGGATTTGACAATCAAATTAATAATAATTTGTCAAACAATAATTAATTAATTTATTAAGGATTTGATAATATATCATTTCCTATAAATTAAGGAAGTCATAATAATAATATTAATAATAGTAACTAATAATATCATCAATTTAATACAACAAACTAAAAGTATTAAAATAATCCATTTGTAAAAGATGCATAAGATATAAGAAACCTCTATAATACTCAATAGCCTAGTAAGTACGATTAGTTGAGAAACAATCCATTTGTTTGATTAATATAATTATGTTCTGCTTGATTTTAATATTTTAATGTTATGCTCGATTAATATTACAAGAACTTGAAAGTTTGAAAACTTAACCTGAAGAATCTACACTACCTCGATAACATTGTACAAATCATAATGCATAAACTAAATATGGTTATTTGCATGTTCCTAATGGTGCAATAAGTTTTATTTATTACTAAGGAAGAGGTCAACATAATATTGTATATATAAATGGAGGGCCAGGATTATCAAGTCAAATATCAAATTTTTTGGAAATAGGACCTCATTTTGGGTAATGGAATAACTTTAGTAATTTACTTTTTTTGGATTTGCCAGCAGGAACTGGTTATGGCAGAACAAATACAACAAGTAATTTAAGTTATGAAGATGTTGCAATTGATTATGAGATAGCAATGCAGAATTTTAATAAATTATGTAAGTTGACTTATGATAATGTGATTCTATTTTCTACAGATTTTGGAGCTAGATTTGCATTGGCAATAGCAAATAGAAGCAAAACTATAAAGTGTGTTGGACTGTTAGATCCATTCTTAGATACTCTTAATATAGTGACTGAGATTCCAAATTTTGCTTTTCATATGGGTGTAATTGATTATTAAGAGTTAATATATTTTGAGAAAGCCATAATAAAGTTGAGTGATGATATCTATAATGGTAATTATTAACATGAAAATGCTAAATTCCTTAAGTAACTTTACTATATGACTGGGAATGTCTCTCTTTATAATGTATTAGAATAGAAGTTATATTCAGAGGATGAAGATAAGTTGGAATAGATACTAAATGATCCAGAATCATTATATTACATTCCTTTTGAGACAGAATTTTTGGCTCGTTCTTAAAATGTGTTTGATTAATTTAAATATAACTTTTTTGAACCATTTGATAACAAAATGTAAGCAATTAATGAATATTTAGTATACAGCATTTGCTTAGTAACAAAAATATTTTGGTTTATTAATCTTAATATGATATGCTTATTCCTCCATCTGGAACAATGAAATGGTTAATATCTATACAATATGAATTGGATGATTTCTTTTACTAAAATTAGTTGATTAAATTAATGAAAGATGATAAACTAATTGGATTATAGAAAAGAGGAGGTTATTTAGAATATTTATTTGTATTAAATACAGGATAAGTGATGCATAGAGATAATTGCAACAATTCAATGATATTAATATAATAATATTTAGAGAGTATTATTTGATTTATATTATTTAATTAAAATGGGATCATCTTGTTGTGCTTAACAAGTGGCCGAAGAGCAGGATCATGAACTAGAGAATAAATACAAGTACGATCCACACAAATAACCAGCTAAAGGAGCATTTAAGAAATAAAATGAAGATAAAAAAATTGTCAAGTTTCCAACCAGAGTACGATAAGAAGATGATGAAAAAAATAAGGGTGAAGAAGAAAGTCCTATTGGTAATCCATTAATTGAAGAAAATGTTATTGCACCAGATGCTAAATCTCATAAGTCATAACACACTTAGAAATCTCACTAAACCAATAAAAGAGGATTATTTAGCAAGTAGGTAAGTTAATTTGTAAAATGCGAAGATGATTGATTAATTAATTAATTTATGTATCCAAATAATCTTTACCCTCAATATATATTTACATTTTATTCCTCTATTTTTCTAATTCTTCTGAATTCTAACTTCAACAAAACTTTTTATCAAGAACTTTTAAAACTCTAAGGTTCTTATATATTTTTTATAATTTACAAAGAAGATTATAATTCTCCTTTTTACTTTAAAATTGATTGTGAATAAAAGGGAAAAGTCATGCAATCAACACAACAGACATATAATATTAAAATTAAAAAAAAAAAAATAGAATTGATTCTCTAATAACTAAAAATTAAGGATACTTATAAATCAATTTTAATGAAGATGCTTTTCCTAAAACAATTTATATTTTAACTTCTATATTAAATATATTACATTAATGAAAACTCATTTGCTTTTAGTAATAATTACTAAATAGAAACTTAATAATTTCAATTTAATATATAAATAATTAAATATCATATAAGCCTATTAAATTATATAGAAATCAATCATATTATATTATTTTAATTATTTATGATACCAATTCATAAGGATTAAAATAATTAAAGTGATATTAATTCTTTCATTTTTATATTATATATTATCAGTTGACATAATAAAAATTAAATGTTACTTTAAATAATTTATAATTTTATGATAAAGATATATTATAAAATAAATTTAATTTACATAATTTAAGAGTAAACAAAAAATTAACTAGTACTAATGTTTTTATTTTATTATTCTATCTTTAGAAAACATATGCCATATTAAAATCAGAGTTTATAATTTTAATCTGTAAAGTAATTAACTACTTTAATATTAAATATTAAGTTAAACTCTCTAATAGATATTTAATGAGTAAATTATCATTCCTTTGCTTTTTATATTATTTTTTATGAATCTAATATAAAAAGCAAAAGTTGATCTTATTAAAAAAAGAAGAAAAATATGATTATCTATTTATTTCATTAATTATATTTTTTTATTAGTAGATTTTAGACTTCCTCATATGCAATTGGATCTCTGCTCATCAGTTTTTTGTGAAGTAACTTAATGTTTTTGTATGACTATAATATTTATAGTGTTTTATCATCTGTTAAATTCATTAGCTGTTTGATTTCATCATCTAAATATAAAGGAATTCTTACATAACGACATATTCTCATGATCCCAAACTTAAAACTATTGTAATTTCATTCTCATCATATTGAAATTGAATTTTCTCTACACCATCTCAGTTTAATGACCATTTCCTATATGAATAAATCCATCATTTTTCCTAAAAAAGAACTTATAAGGTTAATTATTCTAATCTGTATTTACTTGCACATTACGAGTTGATATATGTCTTTTAATATTCTTGCTCTATTTAATTATTTTAAAATGTTTGTCAATCTATTTGTTATTTAATTCTGATTCATTTTCATCATGAATGGTGGTTGGAGTTGCTTAAGGTAGCTCTTTAATCAATTTTAGATTCAGCTTAATTCGTGTACCACAAACTGACACAAACTAAGAACAACTTTATGTTTATGCTTTTTCATTTGACTAAGTAGGTTGTGGTAGAGTTTGCTATGCTGGTAAAGATTAAAAGTATGGGAACTGGTAGTACATGAAAGGAAAAAAGATTTATTGGGAATTCATAAACTGAGGCATATACAATGGAAAGGCAAGTGATTGAGCATTAATGTTGACTGGGAGATACTCATTGTTATTCATAAAAAAATTATTTAACATGAAAAATACAAACCAAGTTCAATCAATATACTCAGTCAATAATATTTTAAAAATTTTATTAAAACATGCTTTTTAATGGAATGGTTAGGAAAAATCATTAAAGCATACTCATTCAATGCTTTATTAAATTAAATAAAGTTCTTCTTGTAACCCTTTTGAGAATTTTTTTCTTTTTTTTGTTTGATAACAAAATGTTAAACTAATGATGTAAATTAGAACTAACATATTTTTAAAAGACTTATAATATTCATTATCAAATTGGATTTCAATAATAAACTCCTATATAAATATTCTACTCATCTTTTTAAATTAGATTTTAATCTATAAACAAAGAGAAAGATGATAAACAATGTTTAAAATTCATTCTAATTTTAATTGATATTATTTAATGTACTTATACATATTACTTACATCAATATGTAGCTACTTATTGTCCAAAATAAACCTTTTATTGAGCCTTAACATTCCATTCAATAGATGTACTTTCAAAAATGATTACAACAGTAGATCCTATAAATTAATTAATTTAAATTATACCCATTTCAAATTTTCCTATCTCTTATCCCTTTTTAATATGCACTCCTTTTTCACATGATTAATAAGGTGAGTTAACTGAAAGATTTGAATAATTTCGATATCCATTTTTATGATATGTATTAGTATTAGTAATCAAATCTGAATCAAAATTAACTTTCATTGAACCCACATTAGTTGCACCTATAAATATAATGTACATGAGTCCTTATTCCCACTCTCCTTCAAGAACCACTCTTTCATTTCCTTCATATAATCCCTAATTATATATAAAATATAATACTTATTTAAGACTACTTTCTTTAACAGGTGCTAATTTACCTGGAATATGCAATCTACTTCTTGCTATAAAATCAACAGGACAATGATAACGATGGTAATCTCCAGGAGCAAGATAAAAAATACAAGACCATAGATTTGAGTATTCATATTTTTTTTTGAATTCCATTTCATATCCTTTGATGCCTGTTAAAAATTATCCAATTTGATATGTAACTCTTTTTACTAATAAACATTCATTTTTTGTGACTTTGCTAATTGATAAAATTTTTGAATCAGCAGGACTGATCATTCCACATTCTATTTTTCTTGGTTTAATTTATCTAGTAAAGAATTTATTGAATGTATCGTAATAATTCAATGGATGAATCATGTCTTATCTTCTTACTTTATAAATTTCACTGAATATAGAATAAATAGGTATTCTAGCATATTAATATTAATGTTACCTTAATATTTTTGGAATGTAAAGATTCATAACATATCCTGTTATTTATGATACATATCTAGAGATTGGTAATTCTAAAAGTTTCTTAATGATTATCAACAATACTAGAAGTTTTAGATAATAAATCTAGAAATGGAAGAAAGAATTACATTTTGAAATTATGTAGTGAGCAAGTCAACAACATAATTAAGGCCATACAGAATAAGGACCAAGAGGGAAAGATTCTTAAAGTGGGTTTATTTCATCAATTATTAAATGTTTAATAATTCATTTCAATATTGAGTGTGTTATGGTTTTAATGATGCACTTATTTTTTTATATTAAAGTAAATGAAAAACCCTGCTATAAGCAAGATTGTCAGAAATACACCTAGCAAGATCCATTATTGAGTAGATTCTTACAAATTGTTTGTATAATTCATTTCTATTATTGGTAATGGATACGTGAGTTCTTCAATTTCATTCTCTATTTGCAATTACACTTTACCAACTACACTCAAATACTTAGTTTATTGATCTTTTGTAGTAAAAGTAACAGTTGTAATGTTACTCTCAGTGCTTTAATCAACAATCTATGTATATTTACCATAAATATTGGTCTTGTTATTAACATAATTAGATTCAAACATGCATGCAAGACTCTTCTCACCAATTGCTTATTGCATCCTAACAACAAAATATACATGGATTATTTAAATATCTTTTTTTATTTATATAAGATTTGGGATATGGATGATCAACTAATCATCCACTTTATACCAATCTATAACTTTATCACTAATTTCAAAAGATGTTTATGGAATTATTTCTCCTTAATCAAAGGTTTATTATTTTATAAAATATGATGAAATCTTTTTCTTATTATCATCTTATTCATGACTTGATATCAATTTCACAAGAAAATAATATGTTCCTGCTTCAAGTTATAAGATTGATTGAATATGTTCTTATGAAGAATTCATTACTTAAATTTCAAATATTGATTTTGCAAGGTTAGTTTAATTGTTAGTTCCTTATACTAAAATAGATCCAGAACAAGTGAATACTTCTAAGAATAATTTAGATTTTTATTGTAAAAAGACTTCATAATAATTTGGTTATCCAATTTTAGTTAATTAATATTGTGATATACTATCAATTAAAGCATTTAATTCACCATTTGTAATGATTACTCTAATATATGTATTATTATGTAAAGCTTTAATGGAAATTTCATACAAACCAAATTAATCATACAAATGATATGAAATAGCTTTAGGATATTTATTAAAATAATTAATAGGTTTTATAGTATTATGTGAAATATCGAAATATAAATTGTCTATAGATTAATGAATATTTTAGATTTGTAATGTGATATATTTAGATTAATTATTAGTTATTTGAGTGATCGATTAATATTAGAGATAAATAGTCTCACCAGCTCGTACATAATAAGTCATCATTTGACCCAAATAAATATTATAAGTTTGTTTATAGAATCTGGCTGCACTAATTTTAAAAATAGATACTGGTGATAAAGATTCAACTTTAATTGTAATCAATGATACAGATGAATCCTTTTTTTTAAAAAGAACTTAAGTATCATTTTAAATTCTCTATGTTTAATCTGCTTCATCATTATGTTTAAGTTCTTGGCCTTCCTTTAAATACAATTTGATATCACCACTTATCATTTAAATATTGATTTGAACATTATCATTTGAATAAAAGTGATATTATGAAAACTCTGATTCAGTCAAAACTTCTCTCCATTGAAGATCATCATATAAAGTAGTTTAATATTATGGACTGCTGAATTCAATCAAACCTTTACTATCACCTGAAACTGCTATTATTTCAATTAAATAAATGCAACTAACTTTATCACAAGTCTTCACTTTAAATGAATTTTATTTATCAACAATTTAATCAATAAATAAAGTATCATTATTGCTAATTATAGTTTCATCATCAAAAGAATCCAATTTTTTGGCTCTTATTTATAATTTACCTTGCATTGCAAACAATATGATTCTATATTCCTAATCACTTGGATTATCTCTAAAAATGTAATAATGAGGTATATTCTCAGGGAATAGGACATCAAATGGATACCCAAGAAAAGCATTAAAATATTTGGCATCATCAATATTGTAACTAATTTAAAATTCACAGTCAAAATGCCCAATCACTCCAATAATATAATCATCCTTTGCTATATAACGATCATTTTCTTCTTAAAGAATGTAAGTAGATCCAACAATTTCTGTCCAATCTAGATCGAATTCAAATAGACTGGGTCTTTTGTCTTTCCCTTTAGAGATTCTAGCAGTAGCAAGATCCCCACCACCTTTGATATGAATACTAACTTCTATTGACTTAACATCCTATGTTAAACTAAGCTTATAATATTTAGTTTAGCCCTTCTGAACATTGTCAATTATGGGATCTGATAGAGTCAGTAATTTGACTCCTTCATAGACACCAATGGTATAGGTGTCATTCTGATAGTGAGGCTCTATTGGTTGAACCCGTACATACAATATTTAATATTTCTCAGTTTCTGGGATAGTAAAACTTTAAAATTAAGCGAAATAAGAATTTGATTTGAATGTTTCATATCTCAAATCAGAATTATCTTTATTACCATAATATGCTTCAACATTTGCTTGGCTTCCTCCATAGGAATACCATTATAATGAAACTTCCTTATTGTTGAGGATATAATAGAATAGAGTCTCTTAGTCAAAAGTGACAGTTTGTGGATAGCCTTCATGCAATTAGATTCTACTATTATTATATTTTGTTGAGATGGTGTAGAAGATAGTTCCTGATGATGATGATACAGATATGTATATATAACATAGATTCTTTTCATTTATTTTTGTAGTATTTTATTGACATTATAAATCCGAATCAGGAATAGTTAAATTCTTACCAATTAGATAAATGTCGAAATGCTTGATATTTGGATGTGTATTTTTTTGATCAAATGAAATGAACATGTCTAAATCACTTACATCATTGCCTGAGTAAATATCCTTAGTAATTGTCAGATTTCTAGATTCCATAGGTATTTTATAATATCTAAACTTTTTCTGAGCTACAGTTCCTATAATCTATTATCCTACTTGATAAAATTCAATATCTCCATGCATACTATATTGGATGATAAATTCTCCATGATCATTTAAATTCTGTACTCCAATATAATATTATGTTGCATAATTAGGATCATCAATATTAATTTCTATTTATTTTGAATCCTTCCATTAATAACTATTGCTATCTGGTATTTCTTTATTTTTTAGATTAGATTTAACATACATAATAAAGTTGCCTTCAATATTTTATAATGAAATAGTAAAGTTTTATTTTTAAGGTAATTAAATATAAAAGAAACTGTATTAATCACCTGATAAATATTTTTATGGTACTCCACTTTATAATTGTATAAAATAAGTTTAATTGATGGTTTAATATCTCTCTACTTAAGTGTAAATACCATATTAACATTGAGAATAACCAAAAACACTTAAATAAAAAGTTTTAGCATTACTTACTTTCAATTATGAAGAACTTATCATTTCAAAATTAGTAATATTAGGATATTACTCTGATGAACTACCATATAACATACATGATCCATTATATTGAGTTATTTGAAATTTCACACTTTTTATATTAGTATCATTTGGAATGTTATACAAATAATAAATATAGAATCCTTCTTCAACAAGATATTGTTCTTATTGTCCCTCTCTTAAAACTATATGTTATTCTTAATGTTTGGCTAGTATACGAAATTATGTTTTAGAATCACTTTTTAATCCAATTAAATAATAACAATCTTAACAATTTTGATGTACAAATGAAATAGATGATTAAGTTAAATGAAAAGCTGTATCAGTATTATTACCTTCATAATCATTTATAGTGATCTAACAATCCTCATTAATGCATTATTTTAAGAACTTGTCTGCTTAATTAGCAGTAATTTATAAAGTAATTTAATCAATTGATTAGATTGGTTTCAATTTAAATTGGAGAATCTCTTTCTCTACTAATTCACCACTATTATTTAAATATAATTTTACCTTAGTGGAATATTGTATTCTAATTATTAGATACCATCCAAAATATATATAACCAATTAATAGCCAGATACAACTTCACTAGAAACACCAATATAGAATTAATTATCTGTACAATTAACTGCTTATCTTTCTTAATAAGATATTGTGAGTTATTACATGAACCAAGATTCTGTTTACCATTCATAATAATCTAATAATTTTGGTTCTCTATTATTCATTATTCATAAATACGTATCACAATCTACTGCTATCTTAGGATTTCCAATCTATGGTAACAATTATACTATCAAAGTACGATTTTATATTTTTTCTGGATTGTGCAATTATAATCTATATACTTTATAATCATAGGCATCAATTGCATCATCAATTACTTCATTTAAGCTAATTTACCTCACTAATAAAAATAGTTAAATTTTATTACTTGTTTCATTTGCCAATATCATGGCAAGCAATAATAGGAAAACATACATATTATACAATTATTTAATATTATAATTATAAATTTACTTTGATATTATTATACATATTTTATCTATTACATCTATTTTCAATATTATACATATCATTCAATCTTGATAACTCATTAAAAATGACAAATACAAAATAAATTTTATTTTTTTTATAATAATCTATGGGTCAAGCAGTTAGTTCAAACAATCCTCTTGATTACAAATTTGATATCCCAAAACCGTAGTTTAATAAGGATGACCTCCAACAATTACAAAATAATGAATTAGAAAGTATCAAAAATCTTAGAATCTATACTGACATGAATATTGAAGATGATTAATTTAATTTCAATCAGATTGATTGCTTACACTTTGAAGAACATGATTAAGGATCAGGAGCCTATTATTATGGTTAAAGAGTCAATGAAAAAGCTGAAGGTTTAGGAATTTATGTCTTTGAATAAGTTTAATCTGGAATTAAATATGCTTTCGGTAAATTTTAGAATAATTTACTTGATGGATATGGATTAGCAATATATCATGATAATACTTATTATCATGGTTAATGGAAAAAGGGAACTTGTGAAGGGTTTGGTTATTTCACTTCTAAATGGGGTGATTTCTATCTAGGTATATGGAAAGATGGTGAATTTGTAAAAGGAATTTATAGAACGTATAATCAAAATCTTTTATTTTAGATCAGACTTTGAGTATTTAGGATCTATTAGAAATGGTTGTTTTAATGGACTTGGAAGATGTTATTATTTTGATGGAGCTATAGTTTAAGGATATTGGCGTGATGATTAATTAGAAGGATTTGCTAATCATTACTTTCCAAATAAGGACAATTATGTAGGTTTCTATAAGAATTCTCTTAAACATGGAAATGGAATTTTGTATGAAAATTCTGAATAAAAAATATATTAAGGACAATTCTTTTTTGATCATTTTCATGGTGTTGGAAAAGAAATTCTCAAAGAGGATAATGTATTCATTTCTGCTGTTTTTAGATAAGGTAAGCCTTTTTTACTTTATAATAAATAATGGTATCAAAATGAATAAGAAGGTGATTCAGTTTGGTAGATAACAGATTATGATGATAACTAATAAGAATGTATAAAGGAATTATGTTTAACAAGTGATTTTAATTTTGAAGAATAAATTCCACATGATAAGCATAGTTCAGTATTAATTTTCTTTATATTTAGGATGAAATTTTTAAGGAGAATGAAAAATTAACCATAGCTATTGATGAATTATTGAAGGAATGTGAGGGATATAAATAATTATATGAAAAATAAGAAAGAAGACTAAAATAATTGCCAATTTTACATAAGCTTTAAAAATGGCATTATGAATAAAATTAAGATAAGTTTCCTCAACATTTTAAAGATTAATATTAAAGATTTCTACAATAATAATAATAATAATAATAATAATAATAATAATAATAATAATAATAATAATAATGAATTTATTCATATATAAATAATATTATATTATCATTTCTTTACCCATGCATGATAAAATGCAGAAGAAGAAGATAAAATAAAAAAAATGCTATAAAATATAGTTAATAACTTAGCAATAAATTTAGTTATTATATAATGATTACGAACAACCATTATTAATGTAAATAAGAGATTAAGGAAAGCAGCTAATATAACCATTAATTTAAAAGCGTTTTATTCTATGTCTATAATACTGAATAAATTGAACTTGATGGGACCTGAATTTACAAAGTTTTGTTTAAGAAATGCAACACTGAAACCAATCAAATTAGTGAACATTTATCCAACTATAGTATTAGTTAAATCAATTACAATAAATTCCATTTAATGCCATGATTGCTATAAATATGGTTATTTATTACCATAACCTTATTCTGCTAATTAAACCAAAGTAATGCAATCAGGTAACACATTTCCCATTGCTATTAAACTAAATCCTAAAAATGTCTTATTTAATTCTGTAATTATAGCCCAAAATTAAAGGAAATCTATTAATAATCCAGATAAAAAGAATATCCATACTAAGGAACCTAAAATACAATATAATTGGATATAAAAAAAATAGTTAGGGGGAGTTCTTTAAGAAGGAGTAGTTGTGTTAATGAAAATTGATATTCCAAATCCACACATTAAAGCTAAAAAATAAACCCACCAAGGAGGGAAACTGAAAACTACAGAAACAAAGAAAACTGATCCAGGTATTGGGAATACTAAAATAAATAAATCTGAATTACTAATGGCTTAATTTTTATCAAATTGATCTTCTTAAGGTTTTGGCAATGTAAATTTCAATATCATTTATAATGGATAAATAATTATAGCCCTAACTTTTTCATGCATTGACAATCTATCCCATTTTTATTTTTAAGTTTCAATATTAGCCATTGTAAGTTTAACTGCTGATCTAAATTTCTTAGCAAGCATTTTAACTCTTGCATCTCCAGAAACATAATTTAATCTTATCAAAGGAGTTGCCCACTTTACTGGTTTAGCTGCTAATTCCATTTCTGATTTTTTATCCCAAAAATATAATAATTTCATATCATCAAATTTCTATGCAATTTCTAAATCATATTTTGCTTCATTAACAGTCTAAACTCTCTCTCCTAAACTATCTTTTCTGCTTTTTAATATTTTATCTCTTTCTTAATAATAAACCAAAGAAACCAAAATCAAATACAAAACTGTAAGTGAAATACTGGAAAAGTAAGAAATCTGACCTATTACTCCAAATACCATGATAACAAATATTGAAATTATTTGAAATCCAACATTCCTCCAAAAATGCACAGGCTCCATCTTAATTTAAGATTTAGATGTCTTTGTAATCAAATATACTCCTATACTACACAAGAACTAAACAATATAATTTTTGTTCTTAATTTACAAATCCTGCTCCCATTGTGGCGCCTATATTGTAATCTATACCTCCAGGATATGATGAAGCTACTAATGCTGTTAGGACATCTCCTGCTCCATTACCAAATGCTAAAAGAGTGACTCCAGCCATAATCTCTGAAATTTCAAAACGTACTTTCACAGCTTCCAATGAAGGAATTAAATATTCCTTTATCACTTCACTTATTCCATTATAAACCTAATAACCCACAAAACCAGAAACTATTAAAGTTGTCTATTTTCAAATATTTATTTACCATAATAGATCCATTCAACCAACAATAACTCAAGATGCTGTAATTGAAATATAAAAAATCATGTTGGCAATACTATTATGCAATGAAACATTATTAACTATGTTCACTAGTTTACATGAATTAAGATTTTTGACATGATAAATTCTTTGGTTCATATGGAGCTTCAGTCAAATGCCAATACATTTTAAATATTTTTTTATTATGGGAAATAATTGTACCTGTTGGAAACACGACCTAATAAATTAGATTGAGGTCAGAGGCAATTAAAAACCAAGATGGCAAAGTTTAGAACTGTTAAAGAGTTAGGAACAAAAAATCATTAAAATGTAGTCCTGGATCCGTGGCTGGTAAGCTCGTTAAAGAGTATGGAAAATGCAATTACAAAAATACAATGATAGTGTTAATGAATAGTTAAGAACGTAGCCTCTGTTTTTTAGGTAGGTATTCCACAAGTGTGATTAATGTGGGTTAGAGGCAACTACCTCCATTTGAATTTGGAATTGACGATATAAATGATTAACTAGTTCATTAGAAAGTTCTTAAAGCACCAAGCAAATTGGAAAATGGGGCTATGTATTTTGGAGAGTGGATAAATGATTTAAGACATGGCAAAGGCATTCTAATATGTGAGGTATATTATTCAGAAAATATATATTCAAGGATGGATCAAAATATGAAGGTTATTTCAATTAAGGAAATGCACATGGAAGAGGTAGATTGATACATTCAAATGGCGAAGTTTATGAAGGGTAATGGGAAAATGATGAAGCACATGGCTTAGGTACTTATATTCATGAAGATGGGGCAACCTATACTGGTTAATGGGAACATGATTTATAGCATGGCAAAGGTATTGAAAAATGGCCAGATGGAAGGTATGATAATATGTATAAAAAGTAGTTATTTCGAAGGGTTCTATAAACATGGGAAAAAGGATGGATTAGGTAAATTTGTATGGATTGATGGAGCTATTTATGAAGGGGAATTTCGAAGTAACAATATTGATGGATATGGGAAATACACTTGGCCAGACAGCAAATATTATTAAGGATATTGGAGAAATAATAAAAAGTAAATCATATTCTTAAAATAGAAATGGAAAAGGAAAATATGTATGGCCAGATGGAAAAATATATGAGGGAGACTTTGTGAATGATCAAAAACATGGTTAAGGCATATTGAAATTTCCAGATGGCAGAATATATGAAGGAGAGTGGTAAAATGACAAACAACATGGAAAGGCATTACTAAAATTACCAAATGGTTAAGCATCTTATGGAGAATGGAAAAATGGAATTCGTATCAATTGATATACTTTAATCATTTTATATTAAGAATTATTCCCAGGTTTCTTTATAATTATATATAAATATGAAAAAGATTATGCTTAAAAATATTATTTTTGAGTTCTAAATCTACTATATCCTTTAATTTAAACTACTTTAATTAAATTATTAAGACTATTCTTACAATTGATAATTTAAATTGTATCTAGATTTTCTATATTTAGAAAGTATACACAATCTTCAAAAATAAGGTAAAAAATATAATAATATTAACTAAACTTCAATTACCATTTAATTAATTTATCAATTAAAATTTTTCATGTTTATTTTCTTTAATCAATATTTATATTGAAATTTAAATATAATAAAATACTCATTTATTTTATTTACTAATTGTTCAATAAAAAATGATTAATTGTGTAGATAAAAAGTATATTATAAAATAAATTAATAAACTCAATCTATAGTTCCTCTACCATTTATTGTTTTATAACTTTAAACTAAAGATTTCAACTTATCATATTTTTCAGAAGGAGCCAATCTCATAAATCCTCCCATTTATTTAGGCATTTCTCCATATCTACGCATATGTGTACCATTCAAAATATAATTGAGATCTCTTTATAATTGTAATTTTGAGTTATTCATAGTGTTAATGACTGATTTACATCCTTGTTCTTCCTAAATTCTTCTTTCCAAAACTTCACATAATCTTTATCGATCATAATTTGGACTATCAATCAAATCAAATATATCATCAATTAATTATTGTTTTATTAATTCATCCAAAATATAATCCCTAGCCAAAGATGGGGAAGCATTCACTTCTAATAGCCAACATTTTTAGTTTGTATCAATTATAATATCATAACCAAATAATTCAAAGCTGTTAGGATTATTTGGTATTTCAGATTAACAAGCTACCAAAGATTTTAATACTATATCTTACACTTACTCCCATATTTTATTCCAATCTATATTTTTATCAATTAATTTTTCTCTCAATTATCTTAAAGATATTTTACAACCTCCTAATTATGACTCCAAATCCTAGATTTACACATGAGTCTTTTGTACTGCAAAATTAGTTAAATGAACTAATTAATTTTTGAGATCATTGATATCAAGAGTAAAAGGTTATGTAGTTAAACGAGCAAAGCCTTCTTTGTATAGAAACACTTCTAAAGGATTAAAAGATGTAACTAGTACATATATTCTCATATCAAATTTATGTCCCTTCAATAAAAGTGGATTCTTAAGATATTTCTATAATACTACAGGTTCAGCATACATAACATCTGATATATCATTTAAAACTGTTATGCCTCTACCTCTAGATTTTCCTGTAGGTTTCATAATCCAAATATTTTATTATCCTTCTGATTCAGAGTCTTTGTAAAACTTTTCCATAAATTATACATATTCTTTGGGTAACAAAAATGTTGATGGAATAATATCAAAAATTTATTAAGCCTTAGTCCCTAATTTTTAACATCTCTCAATATTTTTCTTTAATAAATCTTTTCTCCCTAAATTCTTATTAAAAGGAAAATGGTTGACTTTTTAAAATAAAAGTAATTTATTTAAATCAATTTATGGTTTTGACCAAGTCCACAATACATTCCAAGATGTTCGAAGTCCAATTCCATGAGGTAATTCTGTCCAACCTTACTTTCTCATAAATGATCTTGTTATTATATCTATTATTATTATAATTATTACCATATACCTCTTCTTTTGTTTTTACTACTCTAAAATATCTTTCTTACTTTCCTAAATTAATTGTATCATTTTAAAGTCGTTTATTAAAAACCATCTGACGTTAAATGTATTATTGAATATCAACACCTGTTCTTGTAGAATATTGTATTAATCTATGAGGATCATTTATATAAACAAGTTCATTTGGATTTATTGCCAAAGGATTTGATTTGTACTTACTTAAGAGAGATTCAACATTATCAACTTTCTCAATGTGTTATGAGAAAATACTATATATTTCTCTCATTACATCTAAATGATTATAATGAGGTTAATTATTGAAAAATCCACTAAATAAATGCTAAAATGTTGGAACAATATCAGAATAATCTTCTAATTTTGAATCATCAATGCATTATAGCATTTTTTAAATATATTTTGATTATGGATTTTTTGGTCTATTATTAGTACTTGGAGTTATTGCTTTACTTATTTAAGTAGGAATAGATGATTATTATTATTTCCCCTTAAATTCATCTAATCCCATTTCTTTGCAAATGTTATTTATTTCATCCATTTTCTCTTTATCAGTAAGAACAACTTTTTATTTTGTTTCAATTACTCCTTTCTATTTAGATTAATCAACTTTTCCATTTTACTTAAATCCTAAATCTTTATGTGGTTTTAATTTGTTAAAATTTACTTAATCATGATCACTTTCTACTTCATGATAATCATCTATTGCTTAATAATAATTAATAATTATACCTTCTTCATTTTATCTTTTTGTATCCATGGTTAATTATTTTTTTAAGTTTCCTTTGTGATTTATTGATGATTAACTAGTAGGTTTGCTTTTATTATCTTATCTTCTTGAAGATTATTAACTAATACTTTGTTTTGTAATAAATTAATTTTTAGATAATTATTTTAATTATTGATCCTTATTATTTTTTAATTGATCTTTATTTTCAGTTTCAAGGACTTTTTGTTTATTTTCCTATTATTTTTATGATTATTAATCTGTAAACTATAAATTCTCAACTTCATCATTAATATTGTCTTCATATTCTTCTTTTAATGTTATTTATAACTATTATTAATTTTATACTAAATAATTATTCTTTGACTTTTCAATCAATTCATCATTCATGATTTAGTTATAATGGTTTTATAATAATTGATCTTTCTAATTAAGATATTCTTTCTCTTCCGATTCAATTCTTTTCTAATCCTCTAAATAATCTTCTTTTTTTCTATCAAATTCAATCTATAAATTACTGTTAAATTTATTTTATTAATTTGGTAGTAAAAATTCATTTTATTATTCTAAATCTATATACTCATTTCCATAAACTTAATCTAATAACTATTATGAATTAATATTATTATTTCCATTCTCATTTTAATCCAAATTTTTCATTTGATCTTTGAATTCCTCTTGTTTTTCTGTAACAGGATTGTTAATTTACTATTATACATTAGTGTCATTATTTTTTTAACAATTTTCTTCATAATTAGTGATATTTTTATGTCTATTTTATTCAATAATATCTTCTTGATTTACTTTCTCTTAGATCTAATCTTTAAGTTGATTTTTATCAATTTAAGTAATAGTAATTAAATTGTTTGATTGTATTTAAGAATTAATAATACATTTATCACTTAATTCTTCTTTGTTCTCTTGATTATTAATATTACAATCTAATGATTTTTATTTCAATTCAAAATTTTACTTAGAAGCACTGCTTTAAGAATGAACATTTGATTATTCCAATTTAGTTTATGTTTTAATTGCAGATGTTTATTTACCAATAGCTGGAAGATGCTCAACAACTTTTCCTAAACTCTCTGTCCTTACTTATTTCTTCTTTTTCTTTCTCATAAGTTTTTCCTATTTGATTTTATCAACAGTATTTAATTAAGGTTTAGGAGGAGGTGGGATGTATCTGTGATTTATTGCTGCTCCAATTATAAACTATTAATTAGAAACATCTGTTTTCTTTAATACATCTTTCATAAAATCTTATAATTAATTTGGCTTTTTAGTTTAAACTTTGTTTTAAGGATGACTACTTCTTGTGATAGAATTTGTTGATAATGTATCAGATTAATTTTAAGATTATTATGAATATTTTTAGATGTTTTATTCAGCTAATTGATTTAATTATTAGTATTGTTATTAATTTGTTTATTGCTTCTAAAATTTATCTTCTGTTGTTTAATCATGTTTTGCTAAAGGAGGTTTTGAAATTTGTATATCCAAATAGTTAGCTGGTCTATTTTTGATATCATTTAATATAGCTTAAAGAGTATTATTTTAATAAATAGGTTATTGAATGAAATCTTCAATCTAAATATTAAAAGCAAAATTTTCTATAGATTATCTTTCTTTGAGTTCTACCTCAATTAGATCCAATATTTTTTTAGCCTTTTTATTCCACTAAGGTTCATCAGTAGTAAAGGATTTTATCATTTTTTGCATTTCTTCTAATTGAAATGTATCTAAATCATAAATATCTTCACAAGGAATTAACTATGGAAGTTATGCCATTTTTAATTAAATAAATTATAAAACTTAATTATAACATTGTTAAATTATATTATTATTCAAAATAGAAATAATTTATAAGTCTTTGTATTTTAAATTGCTTAATTATATGATGAATACAAATTAATTTAAAATTTAAATTACAAAAAATTAATGCTATATTATCTATATATATTTTATTATTTTGTTGAGCAATTTAAATTAAAACAAAGTGCTTAGTAAATTCATATTAAATCAAAAAAAATTTGATAAATACTTTTTTAAAATAGTTTTTAGTTTCTACTGATCAATAGGTTTAGGTAATATATCTGAAAATATGGAAAATTCTTCTTTATTTGAATCATAAGCCGAACAAGCTACTATTGCTGGAGGTTATAAATTTATGGAATTGAAAAATGATATTATCTTATTATAAATATTATTTATACTTTTTATGTTGCTTATAAGCCATTTAATAGAGGCATCTCTATATCCATTATTATCAATTTGTAGGAAGGATGACATTTATTTTATTGATACTTCTTAATAACTAAATCTATTGCTTCAATTCCATTATAAGCAGAATCAATTGATAGTTTATGTTAAAATAAAATAGTCTTCAAAGCTTATACATTAAATGGAACATCATCAACAATTAAAATTGAAGAGCAATTACAAGATTTTATATTGATATTTTCAATTAATTTATAATCTTAACTGTTATGCATTTAAATACAATGTGCATCATCACTTAAAGCATTTGAAAATGATTAATTTTCTTCTTTTATTATGATCATATCTGAAATATAAAAAGATATATATGTATATTATTAAAGTGCTGATTTTATTGAAAATGCATTTTTTCTAGGTTCTGTAAATGCCAATCCTTAAATTAAACGATTGGACATTTTTAATCCTATGCCTGAAGACAATTAATTTTGAGTCATCCAATATCCACTTTCTTCAGATGATACTGAATGTAATTCTCGATAAATAAAACTTAATTTTTACTCAGAAATACCAAATCCTTAATCTTTGACTTTTATTTTAATCAATTTTTAGGAGTATTTAAATTTGTTTTTAAATTAAACTCTAATATGAGTATTTGAAGGAGAGAACTTTATTGAATTATTTAATAAATTTATTAGAACTTAAATAATTCTTTGTTTATCATTAGTCACAATAAAATTTGTTAAATTAATTTTACAAGTTAAAACAATCCCCTTATTTTAACAAGCTTAAGTGTATAATTATTTTATATAATCTGCAATTTCTTTTATATTGAATTAAGAATAATAATGTATGAAATGATTTGATTACATGGCTGCATAGTCTAGTATATCATTGATTTAAAATAGTAATAATCTATTCGAATTTAATGCAGGTTAAACATAATCTTGATTCATTTAATCATTCAATCTTGTAGATAATGCTTCTAATAATTATAATGAACTATTTAATGGTGTTCTTAATTCATGGGAAAATGAATTTAAAATACTATTTTAAAATTTAATAAATTATGTTAATTCCTTTTTTCTTTCTTTGCTAGACACATTTTAAATAAGTACTATAGTAATATCTTCTTATTTTAAGAATTACTGTAACAATGATATTTTAACTACCTTTAATTTCGATATTCCATTTTTGCTTAACTCTTTGTATTTATAAACAAGATTAAATTGTTCTTCTTTTTAATTTAAAATAGTTTAAATTGGATCTTCTATTTTAATACTAGATAAAAAAGGTCTGTTTGATTTTTAATTATCATGGAGATTAATTATATCTTCTGGTCCTCCAATATGATCAAGTAACATTCTAATTTTATTATAAACATTTTACTTAATTAGTTAGTGTTTTAATTATATACTAATTTCATCATTTTTTTCACAATCAAAGTTTTTAAAATATTATTTTGCAAATGAATTTAAATACTTGATATTTTATTACAAATCTAGTATCATTATTCCAATAGGAAGATTATCTAAGATTCCTAATTCACTATCTAATTATTTTAATGATACTATTAAGTTAGTTTGAGAATTGAACAATAAATTATTATTATTGTCACGAGTTGTTTGAATGTTGCCATTTTTCTTTATTTTATACAATAAGTATGATTTCATCCACAAAATACAGGAAAATAGTATTGAAATAATTACTTAAGCACCTTCAAATATATCATTTTCCCAAAATAATATTACTCTTAATATTTGAGAGATTATAAGTAAAACTCTAAAAGCTGTATTTAATTCAATTTCTATCTCTAATTCACCACTTAAAATCTAAGTTAACACAATAAATAAAAAGGCAAAATTTGTCTACTATAAAATTTATTGCACATTGATAAAAGTAATGAGAAAAACTATTTTACTTCTTTAATAAGGCTTAATTAAAAAGACACAGCTTCCAATTATTTAGCCTATAGTTATTGTCAACTGTAATCTGTCGATATCCGAGTTAAAAACCATTACTTCTATTAATATTAGAATCCCACTTATCAGTAAAGCTATTGATATCAAGAATGAATTATCCATAATTGAATTAAACTGTATATTAATTTTTAATAAATACAAAAATATGAATCTTTCAGTCTAATTTTTGTTAGTATATTTCAAATAATATCATCTTAAATATTTCTCTAAGATGTATTATAAACTCATCTTTGTAATTGGTTTTGGCAATACATCACTCATTAAACATCTCTAACACATCTTTATACAGTCTTAATTATCATAAGCTGAACACATTACTATTGTAGTTTAATCACTCTAATCTCCAAGGATCTACTTAATTTTAAGAGATGCTTCAAATCCATTTTATTTAGGCATTTCAATATCCATTAGAATCAATGAATAAAACGGATGACATTTATTATTTTTAATTCTTTATTAAACAAGATCTATAGCTTATTATCCATCATAAACACTGTCTGCTTAACAATTTAATTCGTTAAGAATCATTTTTAAAGCATGATGATTGAATGGAATATCATCAACAATTAATATTTTATTACATTTACAAATTATTTATTTAATAAATTTAAATTCTCTAGTTGTAAGTTGACTCAATTATCTACTCAGTTATACATCTTTAACTTATGTTTCTGATGCTTAACTTTTATTATCTTCTATGAAATCCTCAATTATAAATGAAATTATTGTTCCTTTATTAAGAGTTGAATTTATTTTTAAGCCTTTTTTTAAAGATGATAATCCTATAATCAATCTATTAGCCACTTTTAATCCTAATCCAACATGAAATTAATTATATTCATTTTCTAAATTATCTTATTCAATATTAATTTATAATTAACAAAGTTATTCTTATGATAGACCTAATCCAGAATCAATAACTTAAATTTAATACATATTATTTTTTAATTCTTAAATTTTTAAAACAATTTCTCCATACTATTATGTAAATTTAATAGAATTATTTAAAAGATTGACAATCACTTATTTTAATCTTTTATAATCATTATTTATCATATGTTTATCTTCAGAATTCGATTCTATTTTTAGTTCAATATTTTTTTATTTGCAGCCCTAAAAATATATTGAAATGCATTCTTATAATAAGTCTTCTAAATAAAATAATGAAAAATCCCAATTAAAATCATTAATTTCAAATGATGCATAATCAAGTATATCATTAATTTAACATAATAATAAATCTGTTTACCATTTTATAGGTTTTACAATATTTTCTTATAATTCTGAATTCACTTTCAACATAATAACTTCCAGTAATTATTATATACAATTTAATGGAGTTTTTAATTCATGAGAAAATGAATTTAGTAATTAATTCTAAAAAATATGTTTACTTTTTTAGTCTAATTTTCCAATTTTAGATGTTTCATCTAATAAATTGATTATAATTTAATAGTGATGTTTCATAAAATGAAATCGGAAGCATCTTTTTTTGCCTTTATAAGTATATTAAATTCTATATTTACTCTTTAAATATATATTATATTACATCCATGAATTATTATGAATATGGAACAAAATCATTATATTAATGCAATATACTATTGATAGGATCAATTTATTTAATAAAATTATCATCTAAATGTGGCATACTCACTCTTTATTTTTGATTGAATTTAGATAATAATTAATGTATTCTAGTTTAACTAGGTCTAGATAGATTACCAACACTTGCTATTTTATCATTTATACATCTTTAATATATTTTGAATTAATACTTTTTTAGTAGTTCTTTTATTATGATTACAACATTGTCTTCTGTTATTTATGTATTTGAAGCTCTTTCTAATAAGGTTCTTGCTCTTTTATTCATATATTAAAAATCATGATCTTATGTTAATACAACCAAACCAATTGGTAAGTGGTCAAAAATTTATATTTCATTATTTCTTGGAGTTTATGTTTTGTTTGTAAATATTCTTTGAAATTCATTAATTTTAGGAGTAACTAATTCTAAGTCTAATGATTTAATAAATGATTCTTTGTTTTTATAATAATAATAGGTAATGATGCTAAGTGTATAAATCGAAGCAGTAGTAATGGAGTAATAAAATTTAGAATTATAGGCTTCAAAAGAAATAATTATGTTAATTATGGATGAAAATAGTAATTCCAATAAAATAGGTAATTCAAAAGTTGAATTATTTTATATCAATTGATATGCCAAATAAATCCAAAATAGTTAAAATTGAAAATGTTAAAATTCCATTTTATTATATTTAGAGTTTTCTTAGATTAGAAGTATTAGTATAAATTATATGACTTATTAGAGTTTTTGTTATTTCAAAATACAAAATAGTATTGTAAATAATAAAATGGAACCATATATTGATAAGGATATGTATTCTTTGAAAAATGCACTGATCACTATCGCTGCTGTAGAATTGCATATAATCTAAAATATTATTAATTTATGTTTAATCATTATTAATTTAATTAATTTAGGAATTAGATATGATAATGAAAGGCATTTTTTATTATAAAAAAAATAGGAATTTAATAGATACAATATCATTTAATAAATATATTTAGAATATTAAGCAAATTGCTCCTCTAAATAGGTTTTGGTAAATAATCATCTATCATACATTATTTAGCAATTTATCTACTTTCTAAATTATCATATGCTGTACACATAACAATTTTAGTTTAATGTTTATTTTTATCTAGTAATTCAGTAATTTTGATGGCAGAATCAAATCCATTCATTTTTGGCATTTCAATATCCATTAAAATTAATTAATAATATGGATGACATTTATTTGTTTAAAGTCTTTTATGAACACATTAAAATGCTTCTAAACCATCAAAGGCATGATCACATGTTTAATTAAAAGCACTTAACATAATTTATAATGCTTAATGATTAAAAGGAATGTCATCAACAACCAAAATTTTAGTACATTTACATTTTAAAGCAGATATAAATTTATATTCTGAATTTGTCATGGTTGACAAATTACCGAAGAGAGTTTTAGATGCTCTTGATTAACAATCTAGATCTTATTCATCAATTTAATCTTCAATATAAAATGAAACACTAGTTTTTTAATTTTATATTGATATAATTTTTAATCTATTATATCCTTTAATAAATGATTTAACTTATTTATTAGCTACTTTTAAACCTAATCCAATACACATAGAAGTAGTAGCATCAAAATAATCATTATTTTATTCAAGTACATGATTTATTAATGCTAATTATGATGAAGTAAATCCAATTCCATTATCTTTAACTTTAATTTTTGTTAATTTTTTATCATTTTTTATTTTTTCTTTTGCTTAAATAGTTATTATTCCATTATATGAACAAAATTTAATTGAATTGTTAATTAGATTAACTAACACTTATTTAATTCTCATACAATCATTACGAATAGGAGGATAAACAGTGTTTTTAATATTTAAATTAATATTTTTCAATTTACATCCTTATTCATACATTTCATGACATTAATTAAATAATTGATCAAGTGTAAATACTGAATAAAAAGAATGAAAATTATCTGTTTCCATAGAAGCATAATCTAATATATCATTGATTTAACATAAAAGTAGATCATTTTAATGAAAAATCTAATATAAACTTTTTAATTATTCTTCATTTTATTATTTTACTATTAAACTTTCTAATAATTATTATGAACAATTAAGAGGAGTTCTCAATTCATGAGAAAATGAATTTAATAATTAATGTTAGAATTTATATTTTTTTTCTTAATTTTTTCTTTCAATTTTAGATGTAACATCTAATATTAAAATGATTATTATATTTGGTAGTTCTTATTTTTAAATTTAGAATTTAACACTTCTTATCTTTCCTTATGATTAATAGGTTGTAATCAATTTACTCTAATAAATTAATTATTATATATTACAGTCATTATTGATGATCCTTTTTAATTATTAATAATATGTTCTAATGGAGTTGGTTTGATATCATCATAAGAATCAACATTTATTATATTTTATGGATTTATCAATTATGAAACCTATTTTTCAGACTTATTTTTAGGTGAATTCTTTTTACTCAATAAACTTATATATGAATAAAATTGATTACCCTTTTAAAACTGAATTTATTAAATCTACAACATTATCTTCATTTGGTTTAATCCCAGTCAACCCATATATTTAATCTATTGCCTTTTCATTTATATGTTAGAATTCATATTTACAAGTCATTAAAACTACACCATGAGGAATGATATCTAACACAACAAAATCAGAACATAATGTATTCATTGATCTTCGAGTAGTTAAAAATCTATGGAAATCTTCACTTATGACTTTTTGAGAGCTTTAAAACGTTTCTGTGTTGTTCTATTTTATATGAATTTGATATTCATAATAACAATAACATGCAGAAAAGCTTAATATTCCTTACATATGTATGATTGCTTAATAAGTATTAATACTCCAATCTCTCCAAATTTGATATATAGAGCTGATTATAATTAATAATGAATGTAGTAAGCGTATAGTTTTATTAATTTTCAAGAATTTTCGAGTTACAATGAACCAACCAACAAAATGTATAAAAATGTATGAGGAATTGATTTCAATGAGTCCAATTATGAATATATTAAAGGATAAAAGAGTTTAAATAATGAAAACTAGTTTCTTCTTCGTCCTAAATATAAAATATAGTAATATTAGAGCCATTAACAATCCTTCAATAATCAGTTTAAAAATATCAAGTTCTAAACAATAAACAACAACAGACAGTAAGGTATGTATTAAGAAAAAGGATGTCACAATTTATTCGGTATTCATTAATTTAATTGAAAAATAATCTAACTTAGTCAAATAAAACAATATTCAAAAGAATGCCATAATAAATAAATATAGCATTTTTATTTGTAAAAATAAATAAGTTAATTATTCATAATCTAATAAAACTTATATAATTCCATTAATCATATGACAAAATACATTATATAAAGACTATTTTTTAAATAAATTTACAAAGAAATAAGTAAAGAATTAATTAAGACATTTTATAAATAGTAATATAAATATCATTAAATTTAATATTTAAAATGAAGAACAAATTACTAAACTATTCAAATTCATAATGTTTGAATAAATCAATTTTATACTATATTAAATTGAGATTCAGAATACTTAAATGAAAACAATTATATATAAAATGTTGTTTATAAATCAGAAATCAACACATTATAATAATTAATGTAAGTAAATTAACCAATTAAATTAATCAATAACCACTCTAAATTTTATAAATATTAAATTAAAGAAATGATACTAAATATAGTAACTGTAATAATTGTTCTCCTTATTCTACCAAGAGTTAAACAAAATAGATTCGAAAGATATTTGTATAGCTTTATGAAAATTATATACTTATTAATTATAGAAGCTATAGATTTATACCTTGTTAACAAATAACTTAATATACTTTATAATCAAAATAGGAAGATTGTGATCAATATTATCAGAATAGAATAACCCAAATTTAAGGTTTTTGGATATTTTATATGATGAATATGTTTAAATTCTTTCAAATAATGTAAATTCAGTTGGAGTAATTTCTGCTTGATATTTTAATTAAAACATTAAGGATCTATTTCTAAAGTTGAAATATTTAAATTAATGATTATGGAGATATAAGGTGCTTTTAACACTTATTTAATTAAACAAAATAAAATTATCCTCAAAATTTAATTATAAATTGTCCTTCTTATTTAAATCACTATCTGAAAAACATCTATAAAGATATTATCTGATTTGATATTCTGAATTTCAATTTTGATATTTAAAATGAATTTGATTAACAGTAACAATCATCAAATTATTACTTAAATCATTTCAAAATTATAAATTATAATAAATTTGTTTATCAATAAAATATTACTATATTTTTATAAATAATGATAAGTAGTTTTAATTAATAATTTTGAAATCATAAATATCTTATAATGCAGCCACAGAGATGGTGAAATTAAAAAGTAGAAGTTAAATACAAAAGAAAAAGTTATTTAAGAATAAAATTGTTAAATTATTAATTCTTGAAATAAAGCAGCAGGAATTTTAATATTATTACTTATGGCAAGAGATTAAGGAATTTATGAAATCACATATAAATTACTATATTTTGAGTATAAAAACAAAAAAATTTATTTTAATATTTTTTATTATATAATATTATTATTCATATACTCCATGTATCTTTTTCTCTTGCATCCAATTCAAATCCAAATTGAATAGAATCAACAACTTTAGGTCCACAAAATATACATTCACTAGCAACAATTTTATCAAACTTTTCTTTTGTTTCTCTCAATAGTTTCTCTTCATCTGGAGTTAATGTGGATTATGGTCTCTATTCCTATTTAGCTCCTCCAAAAATATTCATTATTTAAAAGAAGGACTAACCATCTGATCAAATCATAAAATGATTAATTACCTTATTATTTTTTACTAGCATTCTGACTAGGATTTGATTTGACTAATATAGATTACATTGTCATATCATATGTTTCTATCTATGGAATATTAGCTTAATGTTAAGGTAATGATTTAATTTTTGTAACTATGCAATCCTATTTATATTTGTTAATTTTACTTTATGAAATCCATGATTACATGGAAAAATATAAAATGTATCATTGAATAATTATTTAGCACAATGATCACATTTTTATTATGTATCAATAATTAAAAATTTATTTTTTGTCATTTTTAATTCATTTTTTAATTAATCTGAATTTGCTGATAACTTTTTCATTTCATCTTTTAATTTTTCAATTTCTTCATTATATTTCTTAAGAGAATTACAAATTTCATCTTTGAATTGTTCAATTTTGATATTTTCATTAAAATGAGGTAAAAGATCTTCAATTTTAATTTACTAACTATTTTTTGTAAGTTCAATAACCTTATCAATATCTTAATTTTAAGATAATAATCTTTCAGCAATCATCATCCATAATTTCTTCTTTTTCTCATCATCATCTTCTGGTTTTTAAGCATATTCTTTAGCTTTTTCAATCATTCCATAATCTAAAGCTAAAGTAACTGATTCAGTATAAAGAGACATCATTCCATAAATAGTGATTTAAGCATCTATACAACTTGCTTATTTGAATAGTCTTAATGCAAAATCTAAATCAAAATTAACCTTCTCTGTCTTTTTTAATATAGCTTCTTATTCTTATAAATAATAATTAAGTTTTTCTTTCTATAATGGTTAAGTTAAAAAGAATATTAAAATATTATGAATACTTTTATCAGCACAATCTAATTTAGTTATTGAATGTTCTAAGAATCTTATTCCAAATTCTCTTTTTTCTACTGGAATATTCATAAGACCACCAATAATTTTGGTTTAATCAAATTTCTTTATATTCTTTTATAAAATATCTAATGTTTATTCTGGTTCATGTTTCATAAGAATAAATGAATATTTTTATATGATTTCCATAGAACTCTTTTCTTTAACATTATTCAAATTTTTAATAGCTTCTTTATAATTTTCTTCATTAATATAATGTTAAATGATCATTTCATAATTATTATTCAATTTAGCATATTCAACACAATTTTATAATCTACCATGACTTACCATAATTTAATATACTAAATTTTAATCTAATTCTAATTTATAAGTTTTCAGAAAATTATCTAAATCTTCATTTAATTAGTTTAATTATTATTTCTTTTCTTTGATATCTTTATCTCTTTATGCATCATTCTCATAATTTCTATTTTCATGTATTAACTTTTCTTATTCATTTAATCTATAAATTAATAATTCTGCAAGCCATCCCAATACAAGTGTCCTTTCAGTTTCTCCTTTCAAATTATTAATTAAATGTTTTAAATACTATTCTAATCCAATTCTTGCTTTCATATCATCACAATTCAAAAATTTCAAGAAAATCTCTTCAAAATTTTTTGAAGACTTTTAGTAATAAGATGCAGCTTCATTATATCTTTTTTATTAGAATAATTAATCTCCACATAAACCAGCAATATATTTAGTATATTCTGAATTATACTTATTTGATATTTCATAAGCTTCTATATACATTTTTTAATCCATTAATAATTTCCATGCTTCCTTATCTTCATCTTCAGTTTCTATTTTACAAAATGTCCTTTCAGAATAAATCCAAAATACTTTGCCATCTCTTTCATATTACATACCCATTATTCTACCCATACCTCTAAGTTCATATTTTTATACTTCTTATTAAGTTATTTTACTAAAAATAGTCAAAGAATCAGCACTTAAAATAAAATAATGAAATTCTGTTAATCCTATTTAGACTGGCATTTCTGAATAATTATTAACTGTTTTTAANAAATAATCTTAATGCAAAATCTAAATCAAAATTAACTTTTTCTGTCTTTTTTAATATTGCTTCTTATTCTTATAAATAATAATTAAGTTTTTCTTTTTATAATGGTTAAGTTAAAAAGAATATTAAGATATTATGTATACTTTTATCAGCACAATCTAATTTAGTTATTGAATGTTCTAAGAATCTTATTCCGAATTCTCTTTTTTCTACAGGAATATTCATTAGACCACCAATAATTTTAGTTTAATCAAATTTCTTAATATTCTTTTATAAAATATCTAATGTTTATTCTGGTTCATGTTTCATAAGAATAAATGAATATTTTTATATGATTTCCATTGAACTCTTTTCTTTAACATTATTCAAATTTTTAATAGCTTCTTTATAATTCTCTTCATTAATATAATGTTAAATGATCATTTCATAATTATTATTCAATTTAGCATATTCAACACAATTTTATAATCTACCATGACTTACCATAATTTAATAAACTAGATTTTAATCTAATTCTAATTTATAAGTTTTCAAAAAATTATCTAAATCTTCATTTAATTAATTTAATTATTATTTCTTTTCTTTTATATCTTTATCTCTTTAAGCTTCATTTTCATAATTTCTAGTTTCATGTATTAACTTCTCTTACTCATTTAATCTATATATCAATAATTCTGCAAGCCATCCCAAAACCAATGTTCTTTCAATTTCTCCTTTCAAATTATTTATTAAATGTTTTAAATACTATTCTAATCCAATTCTAGCTTTCATATCATCGCAATTCAAAAATTTCAAAAAGATCTCTTCAAAATTTTTTGATGATTTTTAATAATAAGATGCAGCTTCATTATATCTTTTCTATTAAAATAATTGATCTCCACACAATCCAGCAATATATTTAGTATATTCTGAATTATACTTATTTGATATTTCATAAGCTTCTATATACATTTTTTAATCCATTAATAATTTCCATGCTTCCTTATCTTCATCTTCAGTTTCTATTTTACAAAATGTCCTTTCAGAATATATCCAAAATACTTTACCATCTCTTTCATATTACATACCCATAATTCTACCCATACCTCTAAGTTCATATTTTTATACTTCTTATTAAGTTATTTTACTGAAAATAGTCAAAGAATCAGCACTTAAAATAAAATAATGAAATTCTGTTAAGCCTATTTAGACTGGCATTTCAGAATAATTATTAACAGTTTTCAATTATTTAGCTTATTACAATATTGATTCATTCAAATCCTTCTCAGGAAGAGTGAATAAATTTAATGATTTCCCATTTGTAAATAAAAATGAATTTTTCCTTTAAGATACAGCTAATAAACTAGTATGATAACGAGATGGTTATGATTCAGCTCTAGCAACACTTTAAGGATCTTTATATTTAGTAAATAAAATGCTAAGACTATTCAATCCATAAAAGAAAAATAAACTAAAGTTAGTTGAAACAACAACACAAGCATATTTATTATTATCATACATTACTGTAAATTGTTCTATTTAATTGATTTATCTTTCATTAGGAATTGTGACCATTAATTTAGCTTCTTCTTCTCTTACATCTCCTTATCTACAATCAATTCTATATATATAAATTTTAGAATCTTTTGTTGCTAACAATATTTCATGAGTATCAGTTTCATCACATTAATCATCCCAACCTATACATTTAATCTATTTTCCCTTTAATTATTCCATTGATCTAATCCTATCTGATCTAACATTTATATAAAAACTTTCCCCATTGTCTGAAACTATCAAAGCATGTGGTCCATATAAAAATAATCTCTCTAATATAATGTCTTTTCTTTCATTCTTTTTCCCTCCCAATAATTTACCTGTTAAACCACTTTATTGTACTTCTGGTAATTCCATCTACACACAATGATCATCTTTTTCTGGTCTCCATCGATATATGTTATTTTATCTTGTTATTATCACAAACATATGTGATGATATTCCTGCCTATTTTATTTATTCATTCTTTGGGAAATTGGGAATATCAAATGGTTTATTAACAAATAAATCCACTTTTGTTATCTCTTCCTTGTCAAATCCTACATCTTCAGGCTTTCATTTAACAAATATATTAATACCTAATCCATATGATCATCATTAATCCATTGATTATCATCCATTCTACCTTAATACATTTATATATATATAATTAATATTATTTAATACTCATTCTTTTAATAATAATATCATTTAATCATTCATCATTCGGTATTATCACACTAAAACGATAAGATTTTCTAGGTGTCTCCCATTTTCTTACTAAATCATTTATTTTAGATTGTTTCTATTTCAAAATCTTAAAAGATCTTTTCTTGTAAAAATTTAATAATTTTAATCTCTATGTCTTTATCTTTTAAAACTTCATTATAAATTCATATGGATAATACATAAATCTAATTAGTTGAGTAATAGGTTTCAAAAATAAAGTATGAAATTTTTGTTCTGTTTATAATATAATATTCTCTATATTATGATGAATCATATAAGAACTAAAGTTTTTGACAACCTCAAATTACTCAATACCTTATTATGCTTTAAGTGAAAAGTATAAAATTTATAAATCCTAAACTGATCTATCCATAGGTATTGAAGCTTCTTCATTAAAAATTTTATTGTACAATAATTCAATATTTTATTAAATACAATCCTAAATATCAATCTTCAATGATTCATCAGTATCAATCAAAGCAATTTTTGGATTTTATTATGAGCACATTTTTTTATATTTTGATAATTTTGCTGTCATAAATTTATTGGCAGTAAGCATGCATTGTTATCTGGTTGATAATTTCAAATTTTAGTTTGAATAATTATCACTTGAAGCAATAGAGTCATTAATAGTTATTTATTTCTATATTGATATTGCTTCTCCACTTTACAAAGAATATCTAGGTAATTAAATAGATTCTTGTCTTTTAAAATGAAATGTTCTATTTATTGGAGATTATTCATTAATTTCAGATTTAGCTTCATCAAATTCTTATTCTTATATTAATTATTTAGATAACTAATTTTAAACTAATTTTGGTTATTCATTTTAAAAGTAAATTGAAAATTATTCTATAATCTCTCTATCACATCTAGTTGAAAAAGATGTCTTTCCTCTTTTTTTTGATCTCTTATCGTATTTTCTTTGTTAATCTTATGAATATTAATGTCTTTTGATTATTAATTCTCTATCAATACTTATAGATAAATTAGGACACTCTTTCAAACTATGAGTATTAATATTGCAAGCTGCACAATATTATCCAAGTCTTAAGTTTTTACGATTAATTTAGAGAATAAATTGATCTTTTAAATTACAATACTTTTAATAATCTTTTGGGTATTATCTTATAATGGACATAAAATCCGACTATAAAATGTATAATAATAATATTACTTTGCTTAAAACAAGTAAACTTACATATCCTATAGCTTTAAAGGTTTAAGCATTATCATTTTCTTCAATGAATTCTGATACTTCCAAAAATTAACCTTGATTTTAGACACACTTTAATGAAACATTAAGAACATTTTGATATTACAATTAACCCTATTCTACAAAACACAAATGAGGTTAATAAAAATCACTTAGAGTATAAATAGAGAATGTATTTTAAGGTTATATTATTTTTCTTTTAATAAATGGAGATAAAGAATTTTATAATTCCAAACTGAAATTCTTAAATAGAAAATCACAATGTTTGAAGAATACATTATTGGCTTATTTTTTTAAATCTTATTTCAATTCTTCTGATAATTCATTTAATAAGGTCTCTTCTTATTATAAATCAATTTCTGCTTCTTCTTTCCATCTAAATGTCAAATATTCCCTAATTCTATATTATAAAGAGAAAGGGATATTTCTTTAATGCATATATCTATTAATAACTCTAATTTTTCTGCTTCTTTCCATAAAATGTTAGTTTATTTCTTTAATTATAGTACCTATAGCATTAATACTATATGAAAACCATAAACAAGCACTTAAGATAAAGAATATTGCAACAATTTTTTCATTCCAAGTTTTTGGTACATTATCACCATATCCTATAGTTAACATAGTTACAATAGCAAAATAGAATGCTTCTAAATATTAAAGTTACCATTATTGATGATCTAATTCTTATAAAATAATCCAAGAATTCCCATAATTTAATGAACTATTGAAAAACCATATACAAGAAAATAAATGGAGTACATAAATCAAGTAGATTAGTAATTTAAACAAATTAATAAATGCTTTTTGTTTTTTAGTAAAATATTGAGATTCTTCACTTTTTTATAATGTTTAATTAATTTAATAATGTTGTGTAAGTGATATTAATAGTATTAAATATTAAAATTAATTTCCTTGATTATTAATAAAATAGATTAATAAAAATATTAAAGCAAAGTCTGAAATAGTTTATAGATTAAAATTGTTTTAAATAATTTGCCATCTATCATATACTGCCTATCCACTCAAATAACATATAGTATTCAATCTTAATAAATTATCAATAATTAATATAATTACAATAGTCAGAGTAAGTCCTATCAATTTATCAAATAAAATTTATGGGTTGTAAGCAATTTCTAATGGAATTAATATTAATAAAAGTAACCTAAAAAGTATGGTCCAATAATCCCAAACAATTTTCTTAAGTGATTCAGGATGTATTTATGGTATTTTGGATAATATTTCATAAATAGCCTTTCTACTTAATTAATATTTTTCTCTGATCCAAATAATGAATGGATGTTCATAAGATGATAGAGTATTATCACGAAATAGTTTAGTTACATTACGTATTTGAAAATATGGATGATTATTTAACTTAAGTATTTACATCATCACTTAACTAAATAAAAATGATGATACCTATCACTTGAATTATCATTAATTAATTTGATATGATTTTCATTAACATTAGACAACTTAGTTCTATTGTTTCTAATGCGTTAAATGAATCGTTTTAGATAAAAATATTTCATGAAATTAGTGCCAGTTTTTTTGGATGTATTTTTTTTGTTATCTTCATCTTAATCAATTAATGGCTTATTTAATTTATAAAAAATTAATTACTTCACAATTTCTACGAGTGTCTATATTTGTAGTTGATTTTATTGTAAAATTGTTTATACTTGGATTTCTTGTTTGTATTCTTTAAACTAAATCTGCTTCTAAATATTCCTTTTCATATTCATTTTGTTGCTCTGCCTGTAATTCAATTTATAGATTCACTGGTTATGAACTTAATGCTGAAAATATTATATTAGTTCCATTCATTTATAAAATTATATACTCATTTAAAATCTCTTTTTTTCTTGTCATTTTCCATATCATTATTTTCTTAATCCCTAAATTTCTTAAGCTTCTCTTGTTTGATTTATTCATCATATTCTTCCTACTCTTTTACAGCCTATTAATAATTTGCTTCATAATTTGAATCATCAACAATTTCAGTTTTCTTTTCAGGTTTCTTAAGTGATCTCAAAAATATTGTTCCCAATAAGATTGCCAAAACTAAAATCAATTATAAGAAAATTTTATTACATCCACTCATTAATAAAAAAGGTAATTATTATTTTGTCTCTTTATCTTTTATGTATGGATCTAGTTTGGCTTGTAATTTCAATTCCTCTCTTTTTATATAATCTAGTTTATTTATTTTGCCATCTCTATAATAATAGGCTTTGCCATTCTCTTCAAATGTTCCTGATTCTCCAACCTATTTTCTTATTCTCTCACGTTCAGCTTCATTCTAAATTATTTTATTTAGTTTTTTGCTGAAAGCAAACTTATTTAATCTATTCATATTTATTAAAATTTTAATTTCCATATATTAGAGAATATATAAACAACCGCGTAAAAATGGTCTATTGGTATTGCATGCTTTATAATAAATAATATAATATTGTAATATGTTAAAATAATTCAAAGAGAAGCCACTTTCATAACTAATAGTAGAGTTATAATAGAAATATTAAGAAGAGAATGACCAATCGAATTTATTCTAGAAACTTTATCAATAATAAGTGGAATAAGAAAGTTCTACAGAATCATCAAATATTGTTCCTGCTCTTTTTTCTGGATCTACAGGTTCTTCATCCTCTCATTCATAAGAAGGTATAATACTTTATGTATCAAAGGTGTGGAAAAAAAAATAAAGAAAGCAAGAAAAAGTTAAATTCTTTATAAAACAAATTAGGATGATAAAAAACTTTCTACAGAAACTACAGATAAAAAAACTTTGTAAATGATTCGAAATAGAATATCTGCATAAAATTCTAGAGATAGAAAGAAAGCTTACCTTTAAAAATTAGAAGAGGATTTTAATAAATAATCTAATTGTCTCCAAGAATTAACTGATTAAGTTACCTATTTATAATAACAATTAGAAGAAGTCTAAAAACATAATTAACATTTATTATCCTAATAATCTAGTCTAATTTGTTAGAATTGTGGATCTAAATAATTTGTTCTTGAAGAAGAAGCTCCTATTTCTGTTTCAAAAAATAGAAGTTTGGGCAAATTAGGATTTTCATTTATGGTTATTATAACTATTTTTGCTTTTCTTAGTATTAATTTTGATACTACTACTTAAAATTTGAAAGCAACTCCATAAGTTTAATAAGATAAACCTCTCATTAGACAATTAAATAATACTGATCAATAATATGAAATTTTTGAATAAGTTAAAAATGGCAGAATTAAAGGAATGACAGATTTGATGGAATATTAATCAGAATATAATCATAAATTTTACGATACAACCTATCGTACTATTTTAAATACTAAAGAAAGTTTTGTCAATGAAATGATTAATTATAATAAAGAAAAGGCTAAATAAAATAATGGTCAGGCATTAGCTCCATTAAATTATCATAAACCATAAGTTGATTCATTTTATTGTCCAACCGTTTATAAATATAATAACCAAACTTAGGAGTAATTTTATAGTATAAGTTAGTAAAATATAGGTCAAATACTAAGATGATTAATGGATACATTTGGTTATTCCAAAGAATAATGTCAATATATTTTATTAAAATCATGATAAATCAATTATATTGAAAGAAACTTATGCAGATTAAGATGTTGATATAAAAGAAAAATATCAAGAAATTTGGTGTTAAGTAAAAAGTATAAATGACTTCTATATTTGAAAATATTAGTTTGCTAATTTTGTTATATAGTAATTATAATAGTTTAATTTATAAAAATATTAACTATTTTTAATTAAGTCAAAACCTAGTAAATTTAATTCAATCTCCAATTTTAGCTTACAATAATGTTTTTTTTATGTCTGCTATCAAACAATCAATATCATATTCTTATTAGTTGATTTCGAATATAGACATTGATAAAGATGTTTATAAATTAACTAATTTTTTTAAATTTGAACTTAAATTTTTCATCTAATCTTCTAATGCTCCACATCTTTTAATACTTTCAAGTTTCTATTTTTATTTCTTTCTTTCCTCTTATTTTTCATTCTTAGCATTTTCATAAATTAGTTAATGAAATTTGTTGTAAAATATATCAATCTTATTAATACCTTAATGTTCCTTCTTATGAAATTTTAGAATATTTCTTATAATATGAATTAATTTTTTTCTAGAAAGCCTTTCATTTGATTCCTATTTACTCTTTTATAAAAAAGCCTTGATCAAGTTTTCATCCTCACGAACCTTTTCAAAATTCTTCAATAATTTTTAACCAACTTTTTTCTATATTAATTTTTCCCAAGCACAATCCTTTATCCTATTATTTATCAAATTACGAATAATTTTATAATCTGGATCATGTATTGAAATTCTCTTTATTTTTGATGATCTTTAAACATAATATCTAATTTTATTTATGGCCTTTATTAATATGCTTATATACATTTATAAACTTCTCTCTAATAATTTTATTTCTAGCTTATTTTTATCCTACAATTTAAAGCATTAAATCTTATTAAACACTTGAATACTCTCGTAAATCAATTTTAAATCGTAATTCTTATAGATTTTAAGAAGATTCTCTTTTGTTATTCGATTGATGAAAATCATTAATTGCAGATCCTCTCTTTAATTTTGATTGTCTTTCTAAAATATATCAAGATTTGATTACATCTTTTAATTCTAGCTTATTCTATTATAAGTATCTTCCTTCTTTTATACATCTATTACAACTCAAAAAACTAAGGTGACTCTTTTTCAAGAAATTAAGAAAAATAATTAGATGAACACATTAAAACAACACTTTCTTCAATAGCATGAGCACTCCAACGTCTTAAACTATTTTCAATACATTCGATTTCTCCAAAACAAGTACCTTCCATAACTCTAACTAATGTTTCGCCATAATTATCACATAATCTAATGTCTCCTTTAATAAGAAAGAAGAAATCATTTGCACTTTAACCAATATGATATATAGTTTCATATTTTTAATAACAAACTAAAGTACTATGAGGTAGAATAGATCCTGAGAAATTAATATCATTTGACATAAAAGGAATAATCCTTAAAATATCTTTATGAACTGCAGCTACAGTATACAAAATTAATTAATGTGGTAATTCTGAAATAATTCTTTTTGAATCTTCTGCCCAAAAAGGATTTCTTTAAATATTATATTTTGTAAATCTAATCCAATCATTTTAAATATTTTCAGGCATATTTATAGTAACATCTTCTAAATTTAATAATTAATCATCAAATTCTTAATTAGGATTTGATTAAATTAATATAAAAGTAATATTACCAATAGTAAAAGAATAATAACCAACACCAATTAACATCCAAATTACACTAAGTAAATATTCATCAAAATTATGAGCTTCAAGATCACCATATCCAATAACTGTAATTGTTTAATAAGCCCAAAAGAATGCATATATCAATTTAGTGTAATCATTAGCATATTTTATATCTGAACGTTCCATCCAATTTTAATTAACATTAAATTTACATATCCATATCCATAAACAAGCAAATAAATGATTCAATATAATCATTTCTAAAAAGATTTTCATTAATTTTTTTATTCTTAAATCTATATTGTATTCATCTCTTACTATTAATTCATCTCTTAAAGATTATTATTTTCTTAATAATTCTATAGATTAATTATATTCAACCCTTCTTTCATAGAAAAAGAATCTTAACAACCTTAATAATTTTATTGGTTTCAAACCTTCTAAACCGAAATCAGGTAAAACTGATAATAAATCAATTATAAACCAAGTAGTTAAATAATAATTAGCTATATCCTTCATATTATGCAATAAATCTAATTGCTTATTAATATGGCAAATAATAAAATTCATCAACAAATCAATCCAAAAGATTATCTATAATATAAATGTTAATTGATGGCCAACTCCCTCTATTATAGCTTTAATAATATACTTCATATTCAAAGGCAACCTCTATAGGATATAATATGGCAGCTAAATCAGTACATAAATTTATTCCCAATCCCCAAACTATATAAATTATATCATCAGGGAAAAATGGAAGTAAACCTCTCTTACGATATTAATATTTAGATCTTTAGTTCTTTAATTGATATGCATAATTTTGAAGTTAATTTATAAATTTTTGAGCCATCCCAACTTTTTTAATTATCTTTCTTAATTCTTAATTTTTATTCAATCTTTATTATTAAAGTGAAGACAAACTTAAAGTTGTCATTTGAATACTAAAATTAAAGCAGAATTATCTTACAAACTTTTTACAGTTTTAGCTCTAATTATCCTTTTAGAAAATTCATTAGGTTTTAATAAAGTACTATTTGATTACAATATACCCAATTAAGATCCCATATCGGTTAATTATCTTTGGCTACTCCAATTTTATTATTAGAATTGATCCTCTTTTATTTTTTAAGGATAGACTTACATTTATTTGTATTAAAGAAAAAAGAATAATAATTAGAATTAATTTAAATAAGTTATCATAATTATAAATAATATCTTATTTTTAAGAATTTAGGTTAAGTTGAATTTTATTGTTTTTTATGTTTGAGAAATAAGTAAAAAATATAGTTATAATCATTATTCTGATACAGGACTATATAAACTTGGTTTAATTTTAGATTTTCTAATAATACTTTATATATGATTTGATCTTATAGATTTTTTTGGTCTTTTTAATTTTTATAGAATTTTATCTAGATTGGAATTAGTAAAGTAATAAGTAGTTATAAAATATCTATCTAATTCAAAATCAACTCTTTGATATTGGTTATCACCTTATTTATGAGAAAATACCTCATCTAATTAATTAACCATATTACAGTTAGTGATTTCCAATTTTGATTAAGTTTTAGATTATAATTCTAAATCAACATTTGAATATGAATTAGAATTATTCTTTCTTATTTTGTGAACACTAGAATTTTAAACAGAAACAGATTGATTTTAAAAATGTTATTCTTAAGAAATTATAGAAACATTAGTGAATCTATTATTTGATATTTTGGTTAATCTCTAAAAAGTTCTATGTCTATTATCTGCTTTTCTTTTAAATGAATTTTATGCTCTTAAGATTTTAGGTTCAGGTTCATTTATATCTTAAAATTTAACTTTCTTTTGTTCCATACTAAGTAAATGATTATATCTAGATGATTTTGGAGTTTTAGATGTATTTAATTATACTTCAGAATCATTAGCACTATCAGAAGAGTCACTATTAAATTATTCCAAACCTGTTAAACCTCTAATAACAGATTTACTAGATTTTAAACTCTTTATTGATTTTAATAGTCTTTCATTTTCATTATCATCCATATTAAATCCTAACATATCTAAATATTGATCAGTTAAATCATCTATTGCAATCATATTATCATTCACAATCAAAGCTAATGCATGTTCCCTTATTATATTCTTTTCAAAATATTTATTATTTTAAATCCTTTTATATTATGATCTATTCATATCCTCTGTAATCATAAACTTTTTTCTTATTCTATCTTAATTAAAATGAACAAAAACTAAAGGGCATCTAAATATAATGTATATCAATATACTTTTTAAATTAATGTGTCCATTTACATATATAACAAACTTCACCATAGTTTTATTTTTCTTCTGTAAATAACATCTAATCTCTTAGCATACAATAATTTTCTTCCTCTAATGAATCTTCTCTAATTATTCTTAAAAAATCATCATAACTAAAATATATTATTAAAATTTATTACTTTACAAATGCAATTTGACAAAATTTAATTGATCTAATTGTATATTCATATCTTGCTTATGTAATAAATTCCTTTTCTCCTACAAATTTTCCTTTATTTATTTTTGTTAATGTTGTTTCTCTTAATTTTTAATCACCTATAAAATTAATAATTTTTAAATACAAATCAAACTTAATTCTCCACTTTAAAGGAATATTAATTTATTAGCTTATTCATTTTAATAAGCAATAATCTCTTCAGGTGGTACTTTTATTTCATGTACAAAAGAACATAATTTTTATACACTTTTTAAAGATAAAGTTTATTTGATAAGTCTTGATTTTTTTAACATTTCACAATACATATCTATTGCCACTTATTCTTTTAATTTCTTATCTAAATTATTCATCATTTTTTCACCAAATTCATTATATTCTTATTCCATTTTTAAAAAATATTCAAAATACTTTCTAACTTATAACATTAACTATTTATTAATTTTCTTCTTTTTTAAAAAATTATTGATATGCATCATTTATTATTTAAATTGTTATTCTTTTTCAGTTAATTATTTTAATATATTACCTATACTAGATATAGTATAACCAAATAATCCACAAATAACCATTGCCATTATTATTACATAAATTCTTTCAATATCTGTTTAAGGTACAATATCACCATATCCAATTGTCAAAGTTGTTATTGTACTAAAATAAAAAGCATGAATATATTTAGTAGACCATTCTGCTTCAGTAATATTTTTGGCAATTAACCAAGAATTTTATCCTTAATTTAATTCATTTTCACCAATCAAATTCCATAAACAAGCACAAAAATGCGATACAAATAAAACTAAAAATATAGATTTGAATAATTCTAAAATTGTTTATATATTATTTGATGGATTTGTAACTTCCTCTATAGCTTCAATCATAGATTTAACTTTTGTTACTCTTAACAATAATATATATTCTGTATAAGGTACTGAATATGATGATAAAATAAATGGTATTACAATCATCAAATCCCATAATAATGTTGATTTCGCATAATGTTTAAGTATTTATTACTTATCCCTATGAATCTATCCTTAACTATAATATGCTGTAAAGAATGTCAAAATTATATCCATTACAAATGTCCAAGAAGGTAAGGTTTCCAAAAATATTCCAGTCAATAAATCTTCCCTTTCAAAGTCAAACCCTAATTTCATGGGAATATAGAAAATATTAATGATGATTTGAGTTAAAACAAAAATATCCCAGAGTACTTTTATTATAGAATCAGGATCTAGCACTGGTATTTAATTTATAAACCATTTAAAAGATTACATTACTTATTCAACTTTGTTTAATTTATGTAATAAAATATCAGCATCACTAGCAGAGTCTGAAATTAAATTGAGAATATTGTTGGTCAAAGATTTGAACTTTACTTCTGTTGAATAAGTTTTCATTTACTTACTAAATTTAGTTATGTAAAACATTATTCTTAAACCACCATGAACCCATAAATTAACTTTTTATTTTGTAGCTACTTGTAGCATACTTTAACTTTCATCATCTTAATCAGGATCAGGACTTAAACAGTCACCTTTAAATGACTATTTTTCTGGCTATTATAATTCAATTTTTCTATTGGAAGAAATATTTGGTTCAAAAGAAGCGTCTTCACTATTATTATCACAGTGTGGTATTGTAAAGCCTTAACGAAATTTTAAAATCCCTTTTACAGTTTGACTCTTAATATTAAAGTTACTTACTTCCTTTATTTTTATTGTCTTAAGACTGAATCTAACAATTATGACATTAAACAAAAAATATAATATTTACAATTATTATTATGTATCAAATAAAATTTAACTAAGTAATAGAGACATATAATAATATTAAAGATTGATTAAAAATATAAAATTTTATTATTCCCATTTCTAATAAATATGAAATTTAAAACAATTTAGAACAATAAATGATATATTTTATTAATATTTTCTTCAATCAAAATTGATGGAAAATGAAGTAATGATTTAATTTTGATATAAAATTTGTTGTTCTAAATTAAAATAACAATTTTCAGTTGTTATAATACATATAAAATCAAATTCAATAGTTGCTAATTAACTAAACAATTTGATTTTACAAAGTTGTCCATAATAATAATATATTTCAATTATCAGATTTTCTTGTAGTTTCTTTGAATTGAAGATTTATTATTTAATGTAAAAAATTGATCAACTTCATAAATACAATATTGATTTAGATTTAGAACTCAGAGCTGTACAAAATTATGATTTTGAACAAGAATATTTAGATCATTGTTTAAGAGATACTCATAGATAATTATCAATCAATAATAATCATCATATTCATAGTCAAACAAAAAGTGAAAAAAGTAACGATGGCTATGATTTCAGAACACCAAAAGTAACATCACAAACAAATCTCAATAATATTGTTACATCTGAAGTTTAATAAAATCATACAATTACTCTTAAATATGTAAATTAAGAAAAACCAATAAGCACAGGTTCTAGTATAATGCAATTCTTTTTTATAAGACGTTTTTTAGAAAAACTCACCTTCCAAAGAAAAAGATTGTAGAATTTAAACATCACTCATTTAAATCTTATTGATGATAAAGCTTCAGATAAGTAATGATATTCTAATAATTCTGTAGAGCTAGTTTGTTAGCTTATAAATAAACAAAAATATAAAAAGGACTTACAATCAATTAGTTAAATAGAATTGTGTAAACAAAAATAGAAATTAAAGAAAGGAAATGGGAAAATGTTAAAAGAAATTTATAGGAGAGTAAATAAAAAATTATAAGATAAATAACAAATATTGCTAATAAAATACCACTAGTATAACCAGAAAATGATTTCAAACTTTATTGGGATATTTTTGCTTCATTATTTAGAGTTATGTTAGTTATTCTAGTGCCTTTAGAAATTTCATTCCATACTTAGATTCTATTTGAGAATTATGTAGGATTAACTTTAACTATACTATTTATATTACAATTAGATTTATTTATTAGAATTAATACTCTATGTTATGAAAATGGAAAGGCTATAACAGATCGTTGGGAAATTATAATTCGTTAAGTAAGTAAATCTTGGTTTACAGATTTTTCATTAATTATAATAATAATAGTATTTATATTCAATTCAAATGCTTAAGATGGTTATGATTTGTTTTTACTCATTTTGTTAACACAATATAAACATATTTTTGAAGCTCTATCAAAAACAGATTAGATATCTTATTTCACTAGACCTTAAAGAGGAATAATAGGATTAATCAAATTTATAACTAGTTTATTTTATATAATGCATATATTTAGTTGTATATGGTTTTGGTTCAGTAGTATTGATAAATCTAATTCATGGATTGTAACAAAAGAATTAGATGGATAGACTTGGTAATTATAATATCTAGAATCAATTTATTTTGCAATAGTAACAATGTTGACAATAGGTTATGGAGACAATGTTCCTAAAAAT